TTTTTTGCGCAGTTGGAGGGCCTGTCACTGGCCTGCTTGGTTGGGCTCCTGCTTTGCATGAAGTGGGGTTTCCTAGGGAGGGTCCGGGGCCCTCCCTCCTGAAAGGACCCGCCTGTTTGTCGGATACGGGGCCTTGTGGGCCCCTAGTGCAATCCGGACGGGATCAATGGATCGCTGATCGACCAAAATGGCCTCGAATCACATCTCCCCTATCCGACGGTTATCCGACGGCTATCCGACGGCTATCCGACGGTTATCCGACGGTTATCCGACGGTTATCCGACGGTATCCGACGGTATCCGACGCCGGGCCCTCGTAGACCCTCAGTTTTGGGGGCCCCGGCCCAATTATCCGACGGTTATCCGACGGCTATCCGACGGCCATCCGACGGTTATCCGACGGCTATCCGACGGCCATCCGACGGTTATCCGACGGTTCTCCGATGGTAATCCGAAGCTTGTTTGCAGCCCAAAGGCCCCCAACAAAAAACCAGCCCGAAACCTCCTACGACCGCAAGGGCCCGCGAGGGCCCAAGGGCCCGAAACATGAGTTGGGAGCGTCTGGGAGTAGAGTTTCTATTTTGTTTGCTGTGTGTGGCTGCCATGCGTTTTGTGCAGTTGGATTTTTTCTAGGCCTGTCACTGGCCTGCTTGGTCGGGCTGCTGATTCTCTTGAAGTGGGATGTTTGTAGTAGGGCTGTGTGGATGTCGCTTTCTTGGAGCAGTTGCTTTTCTTCAGGGCCTGTCGCTGGCCTGCTTGGTCCGGCTGTGGCCTGCATGGCCCGCCTGATGACCCGCATGTCCTGCCCACCGCCCACCGCCCACCGCCCACCGCCCTGCGTGAGGCAACAGCTCTTCGCAAGCAAGATTGCCAACAACATCTGCAGAAAACAGGCAGGCAAAGACAACAACCAAATTAGAAACCAGAAAAAAGCACTTTGCGAAAAGCAGCAGCCCAACCAAGCAGGCCAGCGACAGACCCTGAACAAAAAAACGGCAGCCGCGGACAACAAGCAATTACTGTAGCAACTCTTACTTAAAAAATCAAAAAAAAAACAAACTTTACGAAAAACAGCAGACCAGGCAGGCCAGTGACAGGCCCTGAACGAAATCCAACTGCGCAACAACAAAAAATGGCAGCCACACACAACAAACAAAGCAGCAGCTTTACAAAAAAAACAAGACCGCGAAAAGCAGCAGCCCGACCAAGCAGGCCAGCGACAGGCCCTGAAACAAAAACAACTGCACCAAAAAAGCGGCATCCACACACAAAAAGCAAATTAGAAGCCCTACTGCAAAAATCCCACTTCACGAAAATTAGCAGCCTGACTAAGCAGGCCAGTGACAGCATGCACAAAAAGCATGGCAGCCACGCACAACAAGCAAATTGGAAGCTCTACTAAATAAATCCAACTTCACGAAAAGCAGCAGCCCAAGCAAGCAGGCCAGTGACAGGCCCTCAGGCCCTGAGCAAAAATCCAACTGCACAAAAAACATGGCAGCCACACACAACAAGCAAATTAGAAGCTTTACTAAACAAATCCAACTTCACGAAAAGCGATGAAAAGCAGCAGCCCGACCAAGCAAGCCAGTGACAGGCCCCTATAAAAACAACAACTACACAAAAAAGAACGCGGCAGCCACACGCAACAAGCAAACTAGAAGCTCTCGGGAAGAATCCCACTTCACAAAAAGCAGCAGGCCGACCAAGCAGGCCAGTGACAGGCCCTGAACAAAATCCAACTGCACCAAAAAAGTGGCACTCAAGCACAACAAGCAAATTCGAAGCCCTACAACAAATCCCACTTTGCTAAAATCACCAGCGCGACCGAGCAGGCCAGTGCCAGGCCCTGAAACAAATCCAACTTCACCAAACACGGCAGCCACAGACAGCAAGCAAAAAGCAACAATCTCTATACTGAAAAAAATCACGAAAAGCAGCAGGCCGACCAAGCAAGCCAGTGACAGGCCTTGAAAAGAACCAACTGCACAACAACCAACAAAAAACGGCAGCCACACAGAACAAGCAAACTAGAAGCCCTTCGGAAAAATATTGCGTCACGAAAAGCAGCTGCCGGACCAAGCAGGCCAGCGACAGGCCCTGAAGAAAAGCAACTGCGCCAAGAAAGCGACATCCACACAGCCCTACCACAAACATCCCACTTCAAGAGAATCAGCAGCCCGACCAAGCAGGCCAGTGACAGGCCTAGAAAAAATCCAACTGCACAAAAAGCATGGCAGCCACACACAGCAAACAAAATAGAAACTCTACTCCCAGAAGCTCCCAACTCATGTTTCGGGCCCTTGGGCCCTCGCGGGCCCTCGCGGTCGTAGGAGGTTTCGGGCTGGTTTTTTGTTGGGGGCCTTTGGGCTGCAAACAAGCTTGGGATTACCATCGGAGAACCGTCGGATAACCGTCGGATGGCCGTCGGATAGCCGTCGGATAACCGTCGGATGGCCGTCGGATAGCCGTCGGATAACCGTCGGATAATTGGGCCGGGGCCCCCAAAACTGAGTGTCTACGAGGGCCCGGCGTCGGATAACCGTCGGATCACCGTCGGATAGTAATGCTAGGGGAGGTGTGATTCGAGGCTATTTTGGTTCCATCCATCCCGTCCGGATTGCACTGGGGCCCACGAGGGCCCCGTATCCGACAAACAGGCCGGTCCCTCCCTAGGAGGGCCCCGGACCCTCCCTAGGAGGGCCCACGAGCCTCTGGGTTGGTGGGCTTTGGGTTCCAAGAATATCACGAGGCTGCGAGGGCTATGAGGTCAGAAGGTTTCCACCAAATTCTGCAAAAGCTATGGGGCAGCCCTGAGGAAAGGTTCCAGCAAAGTGTCACGCTGAGCTCCACGAAAGTTGCAACCGGGCCCGACTGGGTCGGGCCCCGTCAATTGTACCAAGCTGGCATCGCCTAGTTTTGCTACAGATACAGTTGCAATCCGCGTTGAGCTATAATATAGGTGCCACGGGGCGATCGGGGCCCGATTGCACCGTCGGGCCCGATCGGGCCCCGATTGCACCGTCGGGCCCCGATCATGCCCCGATTGCACCATCGGGCCCCGATTGCGCCGTCGGGCCCTGATCGGGCCTCGATTGCGCCGTCGGGCCCCGATCGGGGCCCGACTCACTCGGGCCCCGTCGATTGTACCAAGCTGGCATCGCCTAGTTTTGCTATAGATGCAGTTGCAATCCGCATGCTAAGGAAAACCGGCGTTGAGCTATAATATGGGTGGCTGGGGTTGCACCACGGGACGATCGGGGCCGGATTGCACCGTCGGGCCCCGAGCGGGCCCCGATTGCACCCCGATCGGGCCCGATTGCACCGTCGGGCCCCGATCGGGCCCCGATTGCGCCGTCGGGCCCCGATCGGACCCCGATTGCGCCGTCGGGCCCCGATCAGGGCGAGATCGCGCTGTCACTCGTAGCTTTGCTTTACAAGGCGGCATCCTCAGCAACACCGGCGGTACGGACGGTCCGGGGCGTTCCGCGAGGATTCTGGGAGGGGTGTGGTGCTGTTGGGGATATCGCCCGAGCTTATGTTGCCCCGGCATGAAGTCAATAAGCAACCAGCCCAAGGTCCGGTGGCATGATGCACTCCAAGCATCAATGCCTAAATTCTGATCCATCTTACAGGAGGCCACGGGTCCGAAATTTTGCCGAGCCTGAGCTCAGTAAGCCTTCCAATCTCAAAGTCTCGGAAGTGATTCCCATTGGTCTTTCCGAACACTCCGAGCCTTTGGCAGAAAGAAGGACTCAGCTCAGAATTGGGAAGATACCATGTCCCTACCCACAACTCCGATCGGTAGCTTAGCTCAAGTCTTTCAAAGCAAATTTGAGGATACTCCCAGCTCCTGCGGCTCCCTCCCAGCCACCAGCTAGTTTTTCTCCAAACTAGGTTCTCCAGTAGAGAGGTCAGGTTCTAGGTACCCTTTTTTCTGTAGCCTATTTTAGTAGGGGAACCCTGCCCCAAAAAAGGGTGAGCAAGGGCACTACTGGGGATCTGGCCCAACCAACGACGTGTTGCGTGCCACCTTTGGTATCTCAGCGCCAAGGCCGGACGCCGAGACGCGAGCTCACGCTTCCGATGACCTCACCCTCCGCTGGGCGCCCAACCAGCGGCCCAAGCAGCGCACCGACAAGTCGGCTCGCAGGGATGCCGCCCGGGATTTTGGGGTAAGCGCCGTAAGGCTGTGGGTCAAAACCGTTTTGGTACCATTTTGGGTAGGCGCACGACCCATTTTAGTCTATTTTAGTGGGGCTTGGGATGTTCACTGGGGGTACGGGATTTTGACCCATGGCCAACAAGAATGCGATGCATGCAAGCGTACCCTGGAGAAAAAACAAAGAAAGAGAAACGCCCACATGGACACTCAGACAATTGGAAGCTAGAGCCGGCTGTTTGCCACCCCGAAAAGAGCTCCTCTAGAGTTTACAAGGCTGGATGATAAGATTCCGATCAAATTGCGGACCTTCATAGAAAAGCTTTACCCCCGATCGGTCAGCTCACTGCAACCAGCGCGGTTTCCAGGCTTTCTTGTTGGGGGCAGCCCTGCGAGAGCCCCCGCTTCCCGGAAATCAAGTGGCAGAGCAATTTTGGGCTGTGAAAGAGCATTGCACCTGGTTCGTAACGTAGGCTGACAAGAAATCTCTCCACCACTTTGACTCTCCTCGGAGGCCTGACAGATGATCTGAGCAGACCGAAACTTCGCCTTCGCCAACATCCGGAGCCAAAGTCAAAGCCAACTGTGAATTTTAGCTGGGGACCCTTTGGTGGACATCATTTAGGTAGGACCACTGCTGGGGTTCCCTATTATCAAACGCTGGCGGATTCTGAACGCTTCCGTGTTAAGTTTGCTCGGCATGCTGGCAGCTTGGACTCTAGCGCTTATGGCTCACTAACTGGCATACCTATGGCCCCATGTCTAGGGCTTTCTGGATGTGAACGTCTCCAAACTCGGCAATCGCCATGCCCATCTTGGGTCTGGTTTCGCAAATTGGAACAGAGATTCATGGCATTCGCCCTTGACAATGGGAACGTGCCTTGGTCAGTGCTGTGGAACCGTTCGTTCCCAGCATTGGCAACCACAAAATCCGCACGAAGCCAGAAGCCGCCTGCGAAGGAGCCGCCTGCGAAGGCGCGCACCCGACAAATTGACCCAAACAAGTCTGAACATGATGACTCCCTACTACATCCTTCAGCGTCCCTTGGTGGTTTGGATTGGTGGTTTGATGCTTAAGGGGTTCGTTTCCTCCCCAAACTGCGAACCACCAATTAAGGACTACCTGAACCCTGGCAATATCCCTTGTGGGGAACCTGGTTCCAGATAAAACCTGGTTATTTGGGGATTTGTTCGGGATTATTTTGGGCAATCTCCCTAGGGTGTAATCCCAGGGTGTAACAGGAAAATCCTCAGAATCACTGCTGGCCTACACTAAATAACCCCAAAGAGGTGAAACGGGGGCAGTGTCCCATTCACCCGGCGACAACCGGGGGCTCAAAAAGACCCCCAAGCCTAGTAGGCTCAAGGCCTGTTCAGCCTCAGATGTCTTTTCTGCACATATATCAGCTTACTGGCCCTTCAGTCAGCGCAGTCCCCTACAGTAAGTGCAAAATCCTGCGACGTTTGGGGGGGCACAAGTGAGCACAAACTGTTCAGAAACCCCAACCAAGGCACCCACCCTTCCCTGACCTGGCCTCCTCTCAAGCCTGAGTCTACAAAGTGCCACACTGTCTTGCGCACCGTCCATGGATTGTCGTTTAAAGGGCTCCCTTTGCTGGGTGCTACTGTGGATGAAATCCTGCAAATGGGAAACCATCAGGATGTCATCCATCATCAGTAGGGAGCACCAATTTTCTCCTTCACCTTTCCTCCCGAGCAAATCACACCCTCACTCTCACCTTGCCCAATTTGTGGTTTAGCTTGGGGATTAAGGAGGGTTTCCCAGCTTTCCCTCTACTTCCAATCCAAACCACCAGCTAAGGGTTACCTGAGCACCTGTGGGATCGACGTGTTTGAGGGAGACAAAGGTAATCGCGTACGGAACCTGCCGCAGCCGCATCTCCATCCGAACATGTCAAAATTGGGCAGACCCCTAAAATCATCGGGTTCCCTGTTCAATATCTTTCAAGATTCCCAGCAGAAGAAGGGGGTTGGTTCTTCAAACCAAACTCATGTCCCCCCCTCTCTCCGACAAACAAACAAGTCCCATCCGAAGACATGTGCACCCCTATCTGTATCCAACACTGGCCTCTTACACTTACCGTAAAAACTCCCAAATGTTGACACGCTGCTTGGGGAAAGAGACACACATGGCCATGGGTCAAAACCCCGTACCCCCCGTGAGCATCCCCAATCCCCACTAAAATACGTACTAAAACCGGTGGTGAATTCACCTACCAACCAAAATGGGATCCCATTGACTTTGACCCACAGCCACATGCTTCAGCAACTTCCCGTCGACACACACGCACATGTTTCAGCACCACTCTTCACTGCCCTTGACCTTTCCCTAAGGGCTATTTTCGAGGAAAAAAAAAAACTTTAACCTCCCCTCCAGCTCACAAAAATTTCATTGGTTCCATTGACTGGTGGGGAAAGAGACTCTTGGTTGCTGTTGACCCCCCTGCAAAAAGCTTAGCTTGTTGGAGGTTTAGTGGAAAACCCTTGATTTCAACCAAAAAGTTAAAGTCTAAAGATCCAACCCAATGGCAGTCAAGGCTGAAAGCTGATTCATCCACGATTGTAGGGAAATACTTCTACATATGGTGGCCTTTTACACTTACAGCAAGCAAAAACTCCTCAGTGTTGACACACTTGGGGAAAGACACACACGCATATGGCCATGGGTCAAAAGCCCGTACCTCCAGTGAACATCCCAATCCCCACTAAAATAAAGTTCTCAAATGGGTGGTGAATTCACCTACCAACCAAAATGGGTTCCCAAAACGGTTTACGAAATCCTGCACCACCTAAGAAACCCTGGAATGTTGATTCCCATTTACCAACGAACCATGGTGTCAACCATGCTTGCTTCAGTGGTGCCTAAGAGGATTTCGTCCATCCACAGTATGTTTCGGACACGGGCAGCCCCCCGTGGGCCTCAGAAGGAGTGCAGGTTCCGCAGCGCTTGCGCCCGCAGGTTGTGGGGGAAGGGCAGCGTGGATCCCGTGGGCTTCGGAAGCCCCAGCGCCCCGTGCGGGCCCTGCAGGTCTTCCACCCGGAGGTGACCAAAACTGCGGAAAATTCCATGGGGTTTTCCGGCATACAACTCATCTAAACAAGTGGAACTCATCTGTTTCTAAGAAAACCCGTCCAATTCAGTGACAGAAGGGTGTCCCCTCTAAAAGTGATGAATGTCCGTTTAAAGGGGACACCCCCCCTATTCATCAACCAGGGGTTTACTAGTCCAGGGTTCCCAATTAACTACAGCAACTACATCTCCCCTGCCCCAGCACCCAAACTCAAGGTGCTGTTCAAAACCTCTGTTTTCTGGTCAATTCGACCCAAAATCCAGTCTCGGATGATCCGAAACGTTGGCCCAGTATAATCGCTATACATGGGGTAGGGATTGGTTCCCCAATAAACCTATGGCTTTCCGCATGGGCCAGTGGACAAGTTCCACTTCGCACCAGGTGGTTCATCTTAACCAGTAATTTCCACCCCTTGCGCTACATCTCGGTGGTTGGGAGGTGGAAACCATCTTACAAATGGGAAGAAGAGTGCTAGACCCTCCTCAAACCAAACACCGAGCTGCGAAGTGGATTCATCCGCTCAAATGGCGGGAGCCAGACCGTAAGAAGAAGGCTGCGGAGGATGCTGCTACTCCCCAGTGTTGAGCAATCAAATGTGACATGTAGCTCTAGACAACGGCAGCCCCCTTTTGGATGGCGTGTAAGCAAGGATGCCAAAAAAAGGAAGCAGGAAACTTGTTTCACCCCCCCCCCTAAAAGAAACCCCCCAAACAGCCCCCCTTAAAAACACACACACACACACACACAAAAAAAAAAAAACAAAAAACAAAAACATACAACAAAAAAACGCACCCTTGGAAAAAGATATCAAAAAGACAATTGTGCAGGTGTGTTTGGGGGGGGGGGGGAGTTTGTTTCGGGGGGGGCCCTAGGAAAAGCTCTATGATGGTTGGAGGTTGGAAGTGTCTCTTGAAATAAGAGGCCAACCTGGCCAAGGAAAAGCTCTCCATCAGCCGGGGCAAACCTGTAACCTCCTTTCACCACTTGTGGCCATGGGCTCTTTTTTAGTAGGCTGTGTCTTCAAGGTTGGGACCCCCCCAACAAAAAGGGTTCGGGTGTCCTGTTGGTGTCCATTTCGCACAAGAAAGACATACATATTAATATATATATATATATACATATTTCTAAATAATAATAAAAAAAGACACACCCACCGGACGTTTTGGGGGAACCCGGTTGTTGGGGCTCCCAACCCCGTAGCGCGCAACCCCTAGCGGCCCAGCGCCCGAGCGCGGCCGAGAAACCCCTCGACGCCAGCGACGCTCGGCCCATCGGCCCATCGGATCGGCCTGAGAAATGGTGGAGACGCGGCTGTGGTGATGCAGCATGCTCCTGCACCGGCCGCATGTTTTTGTGTTGCGGGGGTTGGATGGGGATGGGATGGGGATGGGATGGGGATGGGATGGGGATGGGTGGGGCAGAAGGGTGTAAGATTTGTTCTTGAGATATGACCCGTTGGCTTAGCAAGCAATGGGGAAGTCGGCTTTCAGAGTGCCAAGCCCAAAGCGTACTCAGCTTAAGTGCAGGAACTCGAGAAGTACAAACACCAACCTCCCCCCCCTCCCTCCCCCCCCCAAAAAAAAAAAGAAAACGTGACAAAACCAACCCACCCGCGGTTTTCGCGTGGGCCGGCGCTTTTCGTTTCGGATTTTTCTTCGCCCCGTTGCGGGCCTGGCGCTGACGCGGGAGTGCAACAGCGTGGACCGGTGGCTGGCGCCGTGGAACTCATCCGGGAGCTCCGGGTAGCCCAACACCTCCCCCCCCGCGCCGGCGGACATCCAATCCTCGGCTCACGGGTCTCACGTCGTTCTGCGTTTTGTGTGCGTGTGTGTTTTTTGGTTGAGGGGAGGGGGAGGGGGGGGAGGCAACCCGTCTTTGAAGGGTTTTGTGTGCTTTGTGTTTGTTTTTGATTGTTTTTGAGGGGAGGAGGAGGGGGGGAGGCAAACCGTCCTTAAAGGGCTGCACCTTTAAGGAGTGGCGGGGGAGGGAGGGGGGCAAGGGCTGAAAAAAGCGTGTCATGTGTGGTTTTTGAGAAGAATGGTTGAGCAGACCAGTTTGGTCAGCTTCACAGTCGCCAAGGAAAGGCACGAACCACGCATCCTTCGGAAAGACGTTCTGAAGCCGAACAGAAGAACAACCTGGTTAGATTCACTTTGCCCTGACACAGCCGGCGCGCAGTGCCGAGGGATAAGTGCCCCGCCCCCCCCATTTTTGAGGCTACGGTTTTGCCCGATGGGTCCCAGCTGAGTCCCACGCAGGTCGCCGGGGCCCGAACCCTTGGTTGAGTTCCAGACAGGCGGGATGGGATCCACAGGGAGAACCAATCCCTATAGCAGGCTGAAGTATCATAGACCCAAGGTGTACCACCTAAGAAACCCTGGAATGATGGGTTCGTATGAACCCATTCCCCCTAAGATTCTGGTTTCAACTGGGGAAAAAAAAAACCTTGTTTGCATACCAATTTCATTTATGTAAGTATTATCTATAATTTATTTATGTATAATTCCACCTTCATTTTCATTTGTTAATTGACCACATATATTCAGAATTGCTGAATATGTAAAAGGATCTCTTTTAGTGCTATGTATGTTCATTTCTATTTTAACGTAAAATTTGGTTGACAGTTTGAATAATGCAGATTATGTTGATGTATTAGCTGTATATAGAGTTAAATAATTTTCTGCTGACAGTATATATATATATATATATGAATCAATTCCTGTTGTTGAAAGACATGTTAATCAATAACGGTACGGAAATGTAATATGTAATTTCTATCTGATGCGTATATGTTATGTAGTTATACATATACACATTCTGGTGTGTTTCCCATGTGCCTTTTTTTTCTGGGGGGGGGGGGGGGGGCATGGTGGGCGCCAACATCTGGTCAATTTGAGATTTCCCTTCAGACACACCCAAAAGGGACCCTTAAAGACAGACCTGGACTGTGTGGCTCAATGCCTCCTCACTTGGGTCCCTTTGCTGTTGCTGAGGTTTTAGTTTATTTTAACAGAAGCAACATGAAACAACATGTGTTTTGGGGCTTTACGCGAGGCAAAGCCACGAACCCGTCGAGCTGCTGCGCCCACCACGTTGAGGAAGCGCTTCAGCAGGTCGATCACCAAAAGCCCCGCCAGGTCGTACGCCCAAATCCTCGTGGAGTCGATCAGTCAGCTTATCTTCCATTAAGCCCTCTTAAAAAATGGTAATATGTCCAGTAGACTCCTTATCTGTGTGGATAAAATCAACCAGGGCAAGATCCTCCAGTAGAGAGGTTAGAATAAGGGTACCCGATTTTTTGTCGGTTCTCTATTTTAGTAGGGGAACCGAATCTCCCCCCAAAAAGAACCGGTAAAGGGGCACTGGGAGACCCAGGCACCTTTGCACCTGGCCAGCTCCCGTTCCAACATGGGCCAGGAGCTCCCGGAGCGCAGGTCGCGAAAAAAGAAGAGCCCAAAGAAAAATCAAAACCGATCAAACGGTACACAAATGGTGAACCCAGAGCCATGCTTCAGGAATTGATTGAAAAGGCGGGGTATTTTTTGCAACTCTTTCTTTCCGGCTGCGACACAGCCCCTGAAACGACATTCATCTACCCGGGTTTTGAGTGTGACTGAAGTGAAGAACACATCCACCAATCTTGGATTTGTGCGCATGCGGCTCAAAGCACCCCAAACGCACTCAAAGCAACTCGGATCCCCGGGTGCGCCTGACACTGGTGGAACCCAAGGTTTGAGCCACTGGTTCCTCTGACTTTGCCGCTTCTCCCAGTCTGTTTGGAAGATATGCCTTGGTTTCTGGTGGCTAGGACCAACCGTCAACCAGTGGGAAGTACTTCTGGGCATGGGCCGAGGCCAGCCAAAAGTCAACACCCCATGGACTGCACCCGGAAACCAGCGAGTCTCTAGGCTGAAAAAAGAGATCCCCAGCAAAAAAAAAAAAAAAAACTTTCTTGCATGGCCAGCTGAAAACAAAGGGGACCCCAAAAAAGCAGAAGAATAAAAAGGGGAACTAATTCTGGGGAAGGAGTGGGGTCGTGTTTGTTGAGCCTCTGTGCCACGCGAAGGGAGGAATGACGTTCCAAGCGAACCCCGAATTAGGTCAGTCAGTTCCCTCGGCGATCTTTGACATTGTCATTGTACAATGTTGAAAAAGCCTGACACACCAGCTGCAGTGGGGAATCCGGGAAACAACTCAACATCCATTCCCTGCTGGGCATCTGAAGTGGTTTCAGGTTGCCCTCAAGTCCCCCCTTCGCACACCGCGTGGGATACATCCATTCCCCCCCCCCCCCCTTGCCTTCCATTTGGTTAAGGCACCAGGAAAAAATAGGAACATTTCCAGTAGTGATGAAATCCTTTTAAGACCAACAAGGGAAAACATATTCTTAAGCAAATGGAGGATGCGGGGTGAAGAAAAAATCGGGGCCAGGAAGGCACCCAGAGACCCGGATACCGAGACGGAAAAGTTTCCGGAAGCAACTAAGGCAAAGGCCAAGCGATGTCGACCCATTCCTTGGATGGGGAAACCTCCCCTTTACCAGCCGAACTGGGGAAACCTCGCCTTTACTACTCGGGTGGGCGTCTGTGTTGTTCAGGGTGCCAACTGGTTTCAGGTTGCTTTAAATTTGATCCAGGATTAATAAACCCGTCCCATTTTTTGGGGGGTGTTCCCTCCAAAAGTGGTCCGAATCCCCACTAGAAGGGGACACCCCTGCTAATCAACCAGGGGTTTATTCATCCGGGGTTAACGTTACAGTCGAACTGGGGAGGGTCCTAAGTCAAAGCAAAAACTGGCCATGTTTGAGATGGCCTTACTAGGGCTTTGTTGGGCTGGATTTTCACAGTGCAAAGCGGGGAACCCCTCTTTCAAATGGCTCAGCGAAAGCTCGCCGCGCACCAAAGTTCGTCTATCCGACTGGCAAAAATCCGAAAGTAAAGCTGGCGCCCATGTGTGGGCATTTTTCACCGGGCCCCGTGCGCCTGCTGCGGAAAAAACAAGAAGTGGCGCACGGAATTCCACAGCGATCCCTTGAAAGGTGTGGGCGCCATGCCTATTCCAAAAAAGATGCCTGATCCGCTGGGCTCCAAAAAAGCTGCTTGATCCGCTGGGCTCCAGACCGCCCATTTCTCCAGACACCCCAGACACCCCAGACACCCCGGACACCCCCGAGTCTATTGAAGTCACGTCCTCAAACTCAACCTGGAAATTGTAGCTCCAAGGGTAACATCCCCCATTTGGTACTGATGAATGTACAGGTTTTGCACAAGCAACCTTTCCCAACATGTTGTTGGACGAGTGGGGCGTGCTGGAATCCTCACCCTGTTGCTATGTTGTAACACCCCCCCTCCCGATTTCAAACAAAACAAGAAGCAACCCTCAAACTGTGACCACTTTGATCGACGCCCAAGTTCCCCCCAGCGAATGTCAATGCAAACTCCTCCAAAGAAAAGAGGAAACCATGCGCAACCTAGACACTCACCTTCACCCCGCCTTTTCTGTGTTGAGGCTTCCTGGGGAGCAAAATGCCCCACGGGAGATCTGTTTGGCTTTCTGCTTTTTAGCAAGATGCGGAAGTTTGACCCCTCCCCAAAACCTCCCCCAAGTCTCCCCCAAACCTACCCCAAACCTCTCCCAAACCTCCCCCCCACCGTTTTCCCTTTTCCCCCAGCGAAAGCGGCGACTTTGTGCACCACCTTCAAGGTGTCCCCGAACCCGGCCAGCAACGACACCAGGATGTTCCCCCCCATCACGCAGAGCACCAGCAGCAAGGAAGGCCAGGTGTCGGGACGGAAGATGTTCAGCACCTGACGTCAAAGAGAAGCACCCGATGAGAGGTTGGGTCTTCTTCTTTTTGGCCGGGGCATCTCCTGACTTCTGTCTTCTTATTGAAATGGTGCGATTTTTTAGGCTTGGTGTACAAGAAACCAAAGGGAAGCTAACACTTTGGTGACCTGTTCTGAAAAGACATCCCCACCTGGAACAAGGGGACCCAAGTGTTGGTCGCCAACAAAGTTCCCTAATAGTCCCTTTAGACATCAGCGGCAAGGAAGCATTGTTTTAATGAGCCCCAGAAGGCCATCCCAAAAAAGGGAATACAAGAATCTTTGTAAAATTGTCTCTGAAGCTCACGTGGCTCACCTTGGCGCCAGTTTCCCCCGTTGGGGAAGAAGCTACCCATGTTCATTTGGGTGGCAGGAATTTTGATCAACCCCCACACACTTAATTTTCCCAGGTTGGGCTTGCTCCGGAGTTCCTTCCTTAGGCACAAGTTGCCAAAATGGGGTCCATTTCGTGAGAATTCGCAATGCTCGGGTTTTTGCATTTCACGGTTCCTTTGGCCTGGAGTCGTAATGACAAATCCGCCGCGAGGTTTTGACACGATGTGTTTTTATTCCCTTGTTTTGGCGGTTTGGGGGCCATCTTCGGGACAGGCTATATACGAGGGAGGAGCTTCCTCTGTGGTGGGGTGCTTGCAGGGACGAGCCCAAAAGGTGTTGATTTGGACTCACGTGCTATAGGGCGCCGACCCCCAAATTCTCCCTCCGAATGTTTCCCACAATCAGGCCCTGAAGACCTGTCATCCGATGTAAAGGACCTTTTGACCAACCACCCCGCGTGTGCTGTTGGAACTTGATTCAAAAAGGACACTTTGCCAAACAAAGGGGAAGCCATCAGCAGAGGTCCGAGATGAAGCCCAAAGTGGCGCTTTCTCCGGCTGAGAGCTGCCCCGGAGGCGAAGAACATCTCAGAGGGCCCCCTCCTCTTTATGACGAGCTTCCTGCTGCCGAAACAGCTTTTTACGTTTTGCAAGGCTATGCAATATCTAATTTCTCGACAAGCTGCACTCGTCCAAGGCTGAGCCACACCACGGTTGGGCCCCCCCGCAAAAAATCAAGCACCTAAGCAACGCCTCTTTGTGGCATTTCCTTGCAATCATGGATTTGTTTGTGGATCGTCCGGTTTTAGCATTAGGTGCCTCGCGCCGCCAAGTACCACGGAGACAGCGAGCCATTGCGAGGTTTCGCGACGCGCCACAGTCATGAGCCGGAAGCGCCACATTTTCTTGCACGCCAAGCCAAGCACTCGCGCGCTGGGAGACCTTACGCGTGGTGACAGCGGCGCGTGGCAGCACACGAGGCCGACCACGCTGGCGCTGCGAGTTCTGGGCAAAAACGGAATACGTCGGGGGCAGGAAATCCACAATGTCACCCAGAGTCTCCCATAAAAACCAGGGCCAGGAAAGCCACTACCCAGGGTGCCAACCCTGGCCACCAATGAAGGGTTGGGTCCTTCCTATGTGAGGTTTGTCCATAAAGTCATCCAATTGCCACAGGTTGATAGCATGCCCGCGTTCTAAAAAATGGAAAAACATATCAAACATGGATGTTTGGAACCCCGCCTAAGGGAGGGGGGTTTGGCAGCGACTGTCAGGTTCATGCTGCAATTGACGTCAATTCGCAGGGAGGAGCTGATGTTGGAGAAACTGATGGACTTGTTCCTTGACAGTGTTCTCGCTCCCCAATTCCGAAACCTGAACAAACTCGCAGCGCATCCTCTCACAACCAAAAAATGACCAGAACAAAAAAGGATAAACCAACAAAAGCAGCCCAAGCGGCGAAGGAAGACTATATTTGCGCAGAAACAAGTGTGGATCCTTTTAGGCCACAAACAGCCACGCTTCCCAAACGTGAATTTGCGTTCAGTGGGGTCTGGCCTAACTGGAGGAGAGGACTCAAAAGAACATCCCTGCCTCTTTGGGGGGTCTGATCTCCCGTTTGAGATACACTGATTCCTATTTCTCCAGCGGCGCGTAGATGGGCGTGCGGCAGGAGAAGATGTACAGCTCCACGGCGATGGACATCTGCACATAGGTCACGGCCATGCGGTACTCGTCGGACCCATCGCCTCCAAAATTGACAAGGACCCATGTATACGGCACACCCTCCACTACCAACGATTCTCTGAACAGCTTGCACGCACAAAGGTGCCTGCTCTAGACAAAAGGACCCTTTTTGGGCGGCCAAAGGAAAACCAAAAGGAACCAACAATTTTAGGGGACCACCTACTCAATTCTGCGTGATTCTTTGATGGTCCCATTTCTTGGGTGGGTTTAGAGGCAAAAGGAAAGCCGAAAGCCGGTTGGAGGTCCCCGAGGCTTCTTTTAGCTCCGACAGGAGCAATTGCTTGTCCTAAACATCATTCAGCACCTGCTGGCGCATGAGCCTACAAAAACTGCAGCCCAAAAAACTACCACGATGCCTAAAACCCTTTTTCGAGTTCACGTCCCCTCCCAAACATTGCGCAACTGAGGGACGCACCTCAGCCTCCCAGAAACCTTTCAAAGTGCAAGGATGAAGGTTAGACCAAGCAAACCAGCTGCCGCCAGGATTGTTGCCCGTTGCCCTCAAGTGGCGGCGCAATGGTCAAAGAGGGGCCTGTTTAGAAACCGTTGCTCCTTTGAAACAGTGGTCGGGCTCGAAAGGGTGCCCATTTCCTGCCACGAGCTTGAGCTCGAACTCCTGCAGCAAAACAAGCTCACCGGTAAGGGCTGGAGCAGGAAAGACTGACGCCCCCACTCTTTATACCTTCGTACCCCCACGGCTTCGTATGCAAACATGTGCAAGGCGCGAGTGAAGTCAGGCCACCATGTGAACTAGCAAAAGTGGATGCGCATGTATACAGTAAATGTACGGTCTAGTCGTGTCTATCCCATGGTTCGCTTCATATTTTGCCTGTGCAATCCCCGACCCTTGCCTTGGAGCAGGTCCGACATGTACAGGCCCATGGTCTGCGCCGTGCCGATGAAACCTGAAGCGTGTTCCTTGTGTTTCCGCACCGGTCTTGCTGCTCATTCACGCCACTTTGCTGTTGCTCTTCTCATACCTACTACTTTTCCAACTGGTGTCGCCAATCAGTTCGTAGTTGTGTTGTTCTTGTGGTTGTCGTTGTCAACGTCACCGCTGCTGCTGATGTGGCTGTGGTCCTCGTCGACCATGGCGGTGATGCTACTTTTTTGCCGTTGCTATTGATGTCGTTGATGTCGTTGATGCAATCCTGAACTGCTGGTGGCTGCTGATTGCTGCTGTTGTTGTGGTTGTGGTTGTGCCTGTTGCTGCTGCTGTCGCTGAGGCTGCTGCTGTTGCTGCTGCTGCTGTTGCTGTCAACGTGGTCGTCATCGTCGTGGCCGCTGCGATTAGTGGGGGCTGGGTTGGAAACGAACCAGTGGCACAACAACAACAACAACAACAACAACAACAACAACAACAACAACCACGACCACGACCACAACCACGACCACGACCACGACCACAACCACAACCACAACAACAACAACAGCAACAACAACAACAACAACAACACCAACAACAACACCAACAACAACAACAACAACAAAAACAACAATACCAACAACAACAACAACAACAACAACAACAACAACAACAACAACAACAACAACAACAACAACAACAACAACAACAACAACAACAACAACAACAACAACAACAACAACAACAACAACAACAACAACAACAACAACAACAACAACAACAACAACACCACAACACCAACAACACAACAACACAACAACACCAACAATACCAACAACAACAACAACAACAACAACAACAACAACAACAACAACAACAACAACAACAACAACAACAACAACAACAACAACAACAACAACCAACAACAACAACAACAACAACAACAACAACAACAACAACAACAACAACAACAACAACAACAACAACAACAACAACAACAACAACAACAACAACAACAACAACAACAACAACAACAACAACAACAACAACAACAACAACAACAACAACAACAACAACAACAACAACAACAACAACAACAACAACAACAACAACAACAACAACAAACAACAACAACAACAACAACAACAACAACAACAACAACAACAACAACAACAACAACAACAACAACAACAACAACAACAACAACAACAACAACAACAACAACAACAACAACAACAACAACAACAACAACAACAACAACAACAACAACAACAACAACAACAACAACAACAACAACAACAACAACAACAACAACAACAAACAACAACAACAACAACAACAACAACAACAACAACAACAACAACAACAACAACAACAACAACAACAACAACAACAACAACAACAACAACAACAACAACAACAACAACAACAACAACAACAACAACAACAACAACAACAACAACAACAACAACAACAACAACAACAACAACAACAACAACAACAACCACGACGACGACGACAACAACGACGACGACGACAACAACAACAAACAACAACAAACAACAACAACAACAACAACAACAACAACAACAACAACAACAACAACAACAACAACAACAACAACAACAACCACAACCACAACAACAAACAACAACCAACAACAACCAACAACAACCAACAACAACCAACAACAACCAACAACAACCAACAACAACCAACAACCAACAACCAACAACCAACAACCAACAACCAACAACCAACAACCACAACAACAACAACGACAACCACCCAAACAACAACAACAACAACAACAACAACAACAACAACAACAACAACAACCAACCAACCAACCAACCAACCAACCAACCAACCAACCAAGCAAGCAAGCAAGCAAGCAAGCAAGCAAGCAAGCAAGCAATCAAAACAAACAAACAAACAAACAAACAAAACAAAACAAACACACAAACAAGCAAACAAACAAACAAACAAGCAAACAAAAAAAGCAAGCACGCAAGCAAGCAAGCAAGCAAACGAACAAACAACCAAACAACCAAACAACAAACCACACAAACCGCCAAACAACCAAACACTAACAACGACAAATACCACAAACAAACAAACAAACAAAACACAACAAAGCAAGCAAACAAACAATCAATCAAAACAAACACACACACAAACAAACAAACAAAGAAGCAAGCACGCAAGCAAGCAAGCAAGCAAACAAACAACCAAACAACCAAACAACAAACCACACAAACCGCCAAACAACCAAACACTAACAACGATTAATACAAACAAACAAACAAACAAACAAACAAAAAACAAACAAACAACAACGCTTCGATGGGCTCTCACCGCGCGGTTTTTCGGTCCAGAGTTTTCTGTCTGTTCAATGCGTCTTGGGGTTTTTACGCCCACAGACGCTGCTTGTTTTCATCGATGTTCAAATATGCCCTTGGGGCAATGATGATAATGTGTGCGTGAACGTGGATGCTGATCAAGTGGCAGGCATGCACGCAATGATGATAATGTGTGCGTGAACGCGGATGCTGAGCATGTGGCAGGCATGCACGCAACGATGATAATGTGTGCGTGAACGTGGGCGCTGATCATGTGGCAGGCATGCACGCAATGATGATAATGCGTGCGTGAACGTGGATGCTGATCATGTGGCAGACATGCACGCAACGATGATAATGTGTGCGTGAACGTGGATGCTGATCATGTGGCAGGCATGCACGCAACGATGATAATGTGCGCGTGAACGTGGATGCTGATCATGTGGCAGGCATGTACGCAATGATGATAATGTGTGCAATGATGATAATGCGCGCATGCACGCAACGATGATAATGTGTGCAATGATGATAATGTGTGCGTGAACGTGGATGCTGATCATGTGGCAGGCACGCACGCAATGATGATAATGTGTGCAATAATGATAATGTGTGCATGCACGCAATGATCATAATGCGTGCGTCAATGTGGGTGCTTATCATGTGGCAGGCGTGCGCTCAGTCATGAAAGTGTGCCCGTGAACGCAACATACGCCCACTGCTCCAAACCCGCGCGCAGGTCGTCAAAAATGGCCCTGAAACCCTTGTTTACAGTGGGAAACGAAACGCGAAAAGCGCGCGGAAACACCCCATCGGAGGGAACAACAAAAACAAAAAACAAACAAACAAACCAACACACGAAACAAAACAAAACAAGCAACACACAAACAATCAAACAAACAAAACAAAACAAACACACAAACAAGCAAACAAACAAACAAACAAACAAAAAAAGCAAGCACGCAAGCAAGCAAGCAAGCAAACGAACAAACAAACAACCAAACAACAAACCACACAAACCGTCAAACAACCAAACACTAACAACGACAAATACCAAAAACAAACAAACAAACAAACAAAAACAAACAATCAAACAAACAAACGAACACACGAAACAAAACGAAACAAGCAAACACACAAACAATCAAACAAACAAAACAAAACAAACACACAAACACACAAACAAGAAAACAAACAAAGAAGCAAGCACGCAAGCACGCAAGCAAGCAAGCAAGCAAGCAAACAAACAAACAAACAACCAAACAACCAAACAACCAAACAACAGACCGCACAAACCGCCAAACAACCAAACACTAACAACGACAAATACCACAAACAAACAAACAAACAAACAAACAAACAAACAAACAAACGAACGAACGAATGAGCGAACAAACGAACACACGAAACAAAACAAAACAAGCAAACACGCAAACAATCAAACAAACAAAACAAAACAAAAACACAAACAAACAATCAACCAACAACAAAGAACGACAAACCAAAAGAAAAGCACGCAACCGCCAAGACCCCAAACCCCGACGCCCCCGACCCCCAACTCCAGCTTCGGTCGCCCAAAGGCCAGGCGGCCATAGAGAAAGGAGGCCAGCAGAATGGAGGGCATGGACGGGATCTCCGGCAGCTCGGATGGCGAGGCATTGTCCGAAGCCACCGGCAACATGGTGACGTCGTTCACCAGCGCCAACAGGATTCTGAGATGCGGCGGTCGCTTCTTTTTGGCTGGCAAGGCGGTGGCTTCTTTTTGGTCCTTTCCAAAAAACACACAGGTACCCTCAAAAATAAGCTCGGGCGATATCCCCAACAGCACCACGCCCTCCCAGAATCCCCGCGGAACGCCCCGGGACCATCCTTACCAGGCCCGACGGCGCAATCGGGGCCTGATCGGGGCCCGACGGCGCAATCGGGGCCCGATCGGGGCCCGACGGTGCAATCCAGGCCCGATCGGGGCCCGACGGTGCAATCGGGGCCCGGTCGGGGCCCGACGGTGCAATCGGGGCCCGATCGTCCTGTGGTGCAACCCCAGCCACCCATATTATAGCTCCACGCCGGTTTTCCTTAGCATGCGGATTACAACTGTATCTATAGCAAAACTAGGCGATGCCAGCTTGGTACAGTTGACGGGGCCCGACCGCAATCGGGCCCCGATCGGGGCGCGATGGCGCAATCGGGGCCGATCGGGTCGGGGCCCCGACAGTGCAATCGGGCCCCGACCTAGGCCCGGTGAACCTCGCAAACCGTTCTCATGCAACTTTCGTGGAGCTCAGCGTGAAACCTCATAGCTTTTGCAGAACCTGGTGGCAACCTTGTGGAACGTTTTTGGAACCTTACCTCATAGCCCTTGCAGCCTTGTGGAATTCTTGGAACCCAAAGCCCACCAAGCAGCAATGCCAAGCATTTACTCTGCTGCACCGTGAGTCCCGCAGCGACGTGATCTGATTTGCCACAAAGCCAACATTTGCCTGAGCAAGTGAGCAAGTCACAAAACAGTGAAAGTGTGCTAAAAGCCATTGATTTCGGTTTTGCTTAGTGTTCCGCCCAATCTTGATCTGATGGCTTTTCAGACGACGGGCGCACGACACACTGCTTCCCTCTAGGGCAAACCACGGAACCTTGCAGAACATTTCTGGAACCCTTGGTGGAGCCTTGTGGAACGCGTGTGGAATCGTTGCAGGACTTTGTGGAACCCTGTGAAACTTCAGGGCCCACAGCCCTTGCAGAATCTTGTGGAACCCTGAAACCCTCAGAGAACCGTACCTCAAACCACTCCGGACCACCCTGCAGCCCTTGCAGAACCTCGTGGAACCCTGCTAGAACCGTGCTGGAACCTTCATGGAACCTACCTTGCAAGAATTCTGGTGGAACCCTCATGGAATCTTACCTCAAACCAGCCCGGACCGCTGGTGGCAACCCTGGTGGAACCCTCAACGCTGGTGGAAATCTGGTGGGACGCTCGTGGAACAGATGGTGGAACCTGGCGGGACTGTGGTGGAAATCTGGTGGAACCCTAACCCTTGTGAAACCCTCGTGAAACCTTCCTCAAACCAGCCCGGACCACCCGGTACCGCTTGAAGAAATTGCTGGAACCCTGGTAAAACCCTCGTGGAACCTTACCTCAAACCACCCGGACCACCCTGCAGCCCTGGTGCAACCCTCGTGGAACCTTACCTCAAACCACCCGGACCACCCCGCAGCCTGGAACCCTGGTGGAACCCTGGTGGAACCCTTGTGGAACTGTTGTGGAACCTTCCTCAAACCAGCCCGGACCACCCCGCAGCCCTCGAAGAAATTGGCTTACCTCAAACCACCCCGGACCACCCCGCAGCCCTTGCAGAATGTGGTGGAACCCTGGTGGCAACCTTGCAGATGGTGGAACCCTGGTGGAACCCTGGTGGAACCCTGGTGGAAGGAACCCTGGTGGAACCTTAGCTCAGGATCGCCCCGAACCACCCCGGAGCCTATCTGGGCTGAGACCCCAAAGCTTTCAGCTGTTGGGGAAAAAAACGGAAGGCTGTCAGATTGAAAAGGCCTCATCCGTCCACCTTCATTGATCCAGATTGCTGGAAATGGGCGAGTTGTGCCATATGCTTTCGCCCAACGCTAGGGGGATCTGCGTGTGAGTCCTTGAGGCTCGGTACCCTTTAGGGTTTGTTTGAAAGGAAACCAAAATCACTTCTGGCCTTTAAGGCACACCCATGCACACGTCAAATTGCCGGTTTGACAGGATTGCAACCGGGGGTGACCTTTCCTCAGCGCAACGGGAACCAGCGTCAACCCACGCCAGTCTCAGAAAAAGCTCGCGCAACTGATGGTCATACTTGAGATGTTACTCCAAGATTACTACCACATCCTACCCCACACCAGTCTCAACCCTTTCACATGATGTACGTCAGAACGAATGGGAACCCAGGGTTGCTAGATTTTGATTGGGGGGCCTGCCGTGCAACAATGTGAGGATCCTTCGTTTTTGGTTGCCCTTCTCTCTCCACAGGCTCTGCTCTGAGCCGACCCGAGTCAAGGCGCGCAGGGCCAGGTCCAGCAAGGGCGCCAAGCTTCCATTTGCTTTTTCGCCCCCCGGAAAAAATACAAATATGTCCAGTAGATTCCCTGTAAAAACCAACAAGGGAAACTAAAAAATATTCTTAAGAAAATGGAGGCAAGGCAGATTGACCAAGAAAACAACTCCTCCCCAAACCCTCCCAATGTGCCGCTTCACAAAAAAAAACTCCACAAAGATTGAACAAGCAACTTCACTCGCTCCAAACAAACACCAAGCTTTATTAGCTAAGGGTCACGTAGATTGCCGGCATGGTGTCATTGTAGGCGTAGATGAGGATAGATAGCACCAGCACAATCTGGATGGTGGCTGCGATGCGGTAGAGCACATAGGACCTGCGCAGCTCCGGCAAGTGGCTTTTGAATGAGTCTTCGGTCTGCGCCGGTTGCTATCTTCACCACCTTGGTATGATTCCAAAAGAACTCAAAACCCTTGTTTTTGGCAGCCCCTACTAACAATTAAGAGGACCAAAAAAACAAACACTTGATCCAAGAACAATGAAGGCCATACATCATCATAAAGGCATCAGGGACATTCATGAGCTGGTTTGACCTTTCGGCGAGGCCTAAATTCCTTGGGTTCTGTTGACCCCTCTGCAAAAAAAAAAAAAGTGTTAACTTTTGGTAGGTTCAGTGGAAAATGAAAACGTTTCAGCCAAGAAGTTAAAGTCTAAAACACCACTAAAAACAACCCCCCCCCAAAAAAAAAAAAAAAAAAAAAAAACAGCCCAATAGCAATCAAGATTCCTGCACACTGCTCAATCACGAAGCCCCACTGACCCACGGCCAACCCAAACCCGCTCCCCACCCCAAAGCTTGCCATAGTTGGCTGACTCATGTGACACCTGAAACCATTTCTAGGGACAAACCAGTGGACAAACCGCGTGCTTGGGAACCATTCCTACTGTGGCCGGTCGCGAATTCCACTTTGCACCGCGAAATAAACCGAAGTGACTGGTGAAGGGAAAATGTGTAAACCACCCAGGTTTGATGGGTTGTTGCTCGTTTTTTTTGTTTTTTGTTCGGGGGTGCCCCTCTTAAAGCGACCAACAAGCGGTCCCCCCCTCCAGAAAAAGACACAACCCAATAAGGAAACCACCCGCAACCTGTTGTCCTTCTTCTTTGTCTAGTTTTGGATGAAACCAAAAGGGCCAAGCAGTTGTAAAGGTAACCTAAATCCAGCAACACCGGATACCCCCGACTTCCAATTGGTCCCCAGGACAGAATAAAAATAAGTCCAGTAGTGATGAGTTCCTTCTAAAAACCAACAAAAAAAACTTTAGCAAATGGAGGCCCACCAATTGACATGGACCCTGCGGGCTCCCTGGAAGACCATCTTACAGCCAACCCGAAATCCGACATCCGCGCGCCTCAGGCGCGCGAAGATCTTCCGGCTTTCCTGGCGCGAAGGTGGAGCGTTCTTTCGCCGGCCGTCCACCAATAACTTCCATTTGGTTTAAGAGCCCGGGGGGGGAAAAACATGTTCAGTAGGGATGAGCTCCTTTTAAAACCAACAAGGGAAAAAAACAATATATATCTTAAGCAAATGGAGGATGACCATGATGAGAAGCATCTTTCGCGCTTTAAGAATGATAACAACACAGCGGACACATTGTCCATATCAGCATTTAGCCCAAGAGTTGTTTTTTGAATGCGTGATCATCATCGTCGTCATCATCATCATCATCGTCGTCATCCTCATCATCATCGTCATCATCATCCTCATCATCGTCGTCATCACCATCATCATCATCATCGTCGTCATCGTCATCGTCATCATCATCACTATCACTAGCATCATCACCATTGTCATCACCATGGCCAGCAACAGCACCAGCACCAGCACCAGCAACATCATCATCAAGACCATCATCATCCGCATGACCTTTCCCTTGGGATCGTGGCTATTCTTTTTTGAGGCCCCTTTCACATTGGCTTGGTCAATCAAAAAGCAAAACGGCCAAGTTCCACCCCTATGTTGGTACATTAAAACCCAGGATTCATCAACCCGTGGTTGCTCTCAAAAGAGGGTAAACCCATTTTCAGGCTGTTCTTCTTGTAGAGGGTAAATGGGTATGGGTCAAAATTAAACCACCAGGGGACTGCAGCTTTTAGTCATTGTTTCCATTTAGGGTACCTATTCTGGACCCACAGCAAACCGCTCCTTTGGGAATGCCCGGCTTTCCAACGTTCCCCCCCCCCCCCTCGGAGCATGCGCTACACCCAGTTCGATAGGAAGGGGCGAAGAGAACCATGCCTGGCTGGTGGAACCCATTGCTTTCCCCAAACCCCAAGGTTCATTCCGAGGCTCATTCCCTTCTGCGGTCGATTCCCATGGTGCAACAAAAAGGGATGTGCCGTTTGTGGTGCTGCTAGTTTTATTGCAAGGGCGTAAGGGTTTGGAGAGAGAGAGGCTGGGAGCGCCGGAACTCGAGCCAGCCAGTTGCTATCCCAGCCGCCACCACCGCGTCGAAAATCGCCGACAGCCCGGGGGACGTCAAGATGATGTCCGCCGCGCTGCGGGCGGCCTGAAGGAGCTCTTGTCGGATGGCGGCGTATGAGGGGGGGGATGCGCCACACTCCCGGAGAAGTTTGGTCATTGGCACATCGGTTTGAGGTTCGGAGCAACTACTGCCCAAAAATGTAGGCCCCCCCCACCCTGAAGAGCATGGTGCCATTTCCTGAAAAGCTGGCGGCCTCCCCAATTCCATACTTCTGGTCCTTGCCGCGGAGAAACAATGGAACTCAAATGGATGTTCACGACACCCGTCGCCCAAGACTCTGTTCAATGGTAGTGACTAGTGCGAATCATAATTTCTGAAACAAGGCTACTGCTTGGTCCAAAGACCCTTCCCAAAAAAGAAGGATCTGGCCATTTTTTCTCACTGTAGCAACCAAACTGTTCATATACCACTAAAACTCGGGGAGTGAGTAGGGGCTCGGCACCTGACTCAATTCCAGAAAGCACGCTTTGTTTGTTTGCGCCAAGAGAAACTTAAACCAAGGCAAGCGCCCCTGCTGCCGCTGCGTTTAAGCCTACCTACAGATCAGGAATTGGAACTAGATCCACTTCAGGCTTAAGGAGACATCAGACCACCCTCTTCTTTCAACCAAAAAGAAAACCCTTGTCACGACCCTCTTGGTTTTCTTCAATCCTTGCAAGCACCCACCTCGTCTTTTTTTGCGTTTAATCCTTTAAAGGGACGGTGGAACGCCCCGCCCCTTCCCCCCCCCCCCCCGCCTCGGTGGCGCCGTCCACGGCGATGCCGATCTGGGCCTGGGCCAGGGCCGGGGCGTCGTTCACGCCGTCGCCGGTCATGCCCACCACGAGGCCGCGGTTCTGCAGCACCAGGATCACCTGCCCCGACCAAAAGATCGCGCTGCCATGGAACCCAGGGATACGAGGGAGACGGGAAGGCGTTGAAGGGAAAGCCTGCCGGTGAATCACCTGATGGTGATCATGTCCCCCAGGAAATGGGGTCTTCCAGGATTTAGTTGCCAGAAAATGGTGTTTCAGAATTGTTGCCAGGAATCAGCTGCCAGTTGGGTTGGACCAAGCCATGTGTTAAGCCCCGACCCAGTGATTCCATTTCCCTCGTTTTGTAGGAAAGCAAGGGAACCAGCCTCGGCGAAAAGTTTCGGCCACCGACCCAAACAGCTCCTTTCGTTGCCATGGAAAAGATGTTCGCCCAGAAATATGGTCCAGGATGTTTCTGCCAGAAAATGGGGTCTTCCAGGGATTGTTTGCCAGAAAATGGTCTTCCAGAATTGTTGCCAGGAATCACCGATATGGTCAGGCGAAAAGGAAAATTGGCTTCCAGGAACTTCCTGCCAGGAATTTCGTGCCAGGAATTGTTGCCAGGAAAGGAATTGCTGCCAGGAGTTTCGTGCCAGAAAATGATCTTCCAGGAGCTTCCTGCCAGGGAGTTGCTGCCAGGACTTTCGTGCCAGAGAATGGGCTGCCAGGAGCTTCCTGCCAGGGAATTGTTGCCAGGAATTTCCTGCCGGAGAATGGGCAGGAATTGCCAGCCAAAAAACAACTCTCCACTTTGCCATGGAACCCACCAGGGATATGGTAAAGCTTTTAAAGGCAAACGGTCGCACTAATTGTCTCTGTCAATGGTTGCGAAATCCGCTTCTCGCACCCTTCAGAAACCCCAGACAATGATTCGATCCCCCCAGTAAATACCAACTACTAATGGTTTGGACTGTTTTCAAAGTGGTGTGAAATGGATTCCAGCCATCCACCGTACTCTCCTGGTCATTGCCATGGAACCCTCCGAAGGTCAGTTACCCCAGCGACCCATCTTGGCGGGATTTCCCCTGCAAACTACTCTGATGGTAAGGCGCCTAGGGGAGTTTCAAGCCTCATGTTGATTCTGTTTCTGGGGGTTGAAGTCAGGAAGTTCTTGGTCAGTGGTTTGACCGCTTTGGGGGGGGGGGGTGGTCAAAAGTCAGAAACTGTGAAACCACCGAGGGGGCTGCTTCGGCAGGCTCAACACCCGTTTGGGCGAAATGCCCATGGGTTCATTTTCCCAGTCAGGGAATCACCGGCAGGGCCCGATTGCGACCTGCAACAAAAAACTTAATACATGTTGCTCGTTTATGATGACTCAAGTGTGCCCTAAAACTTGCGAACAAAAGTGCCAAATATATAGTGGGTCTGGACACTCGAAGAAAGTCCAACCCCCTTTTGGAGGAACCTTTTTCATAAGCGGCTGCACACCAACATGCAACCCAAACCCTCCCAACCAACATGGCAGCTGCATGCCAGACGTGTCAGGTAGGTCTAGGTGAAATATTGTCAAGAAAGATTTGGTCTGGACAAATTAAAGTCACAAAATCGCCTTTTGGCCCCTGCTTGAGAAATCAAAAGCACGCAAGGAACAAAAAGTAGCAGAAGGTAGCAACATCTCTTGGAGCCATGATGTGGTACTCTTATGGATTTGGAGGTCTGGAATGGTCTGGAGTTTTTACGATTTCTTCACCGGAGTGTGGATTTGGAGCCCAGAATGGGCAGCGGCGCGGAAGATCAAACGAAAGAAGGATCCGCTTCACCCGAGTTAATTTAAAAAAAGAGCCCCCCTCCAAAAACCCCAAAGGGGTTCAGGGGTTCAAGATCATGCGCAAACAGCGTCGCCTCGCGCTTGTCCTTGGGCAACACCTGCGCGAAGCCGTCCGAGGTTGCAATGGTCCTGAGTCGATTCAATCGGCGTTCTCGGGCATCAGGCGTCCACCAGAAGTTGATTCCTGGTTGTTCAAAATGGGGGGGGGGCATCAACCTATTCTCCTCTGTCAATCCGTGGGACACCACAAGGGATTCAGCTAGGGAGTCCGGAAAAACTAATAACATGTTCATCCCTTTGGCGGGGGGTAAATGGAAAACCGACCCCCCCCCAACCACCAAACCACAAACCGAAACCACCAATCACAGGGAAGCTGCTGAATTTGATGGCTATAGCCACGAAAACAATCTTGCAAAACACTCGGGTCACGATGCCCATCGACTTCAGAGCCTTACTCGACTCACCGGATCCCACCTCTCTTGGTCAACAAAAACTAGGTTCTAGTAGAGAGGTTGGAATAAGTTGGCACCCGATTTTTCCAAAGGGCACGCAATTGCTGGACCTAGCAAAGTCAGCTCCCACCTCCGTCCCGGAGGCCTCCCCGTGGGCGCTCGGCGCCGCTTAACGCTGAGCGGCTCGTCCCGGGTGGCCGAGGCGGGCCAGAGATCCGTGGCGGGGAGCACATTGGTGCCGAGGCCGATCAACCGGGAGGTCTCCACCGCGATGTTCAGGTGGTCCCCGGTGATCATCTTCACCTCGATGTGTGCGTGTGCTCCTTCTTGCTCTTGCTGCTCTCGTTCTTTTGGGGGGAGTTGGCTCCAAAACTTGAGGAGCGGGTGAACGAAAGCTAGCAGTTGTTGCATGAGATGGGTCGGTGACAGAGTGGATTCATAGGTAGCTTGTGTACAACGAGAGGCCCGGCAAGATTCGTGGGATGCGACACGCAAACGCACATGGTGGCGTGGCAAACCTTGAAAAATGAAAACAACGAGAGGCGTCACAAGCTGTCTGAAAGCACCTCTGGGTTCTGCATGCTGCGTGTGCAAAGATTCTTGCAAGGTGGTTTACCGAGAAGGCTGAGGTCTCAAATGAACAAGCTGAATCGGTGGAACATGTAAAAGTTCGTAGCACCAAGTCCAAAACGGGCAAACCGAGACTGCTGAACACTGAGCCACTGCCCGGGGGGGGGGGATGGACCAGGGAGGAATCGAGCCTGAGACCGGGGGGGGGGGAGGGGGGGGGGGTCCTAAATAATTGATGTTTTTCAATCTTTTCGGCTCAAATAATTGAAAAAATCAATCTTTCGGCATTTGAGCCCCTTACCTTGCTTACGCAAGGAGAAACTTCAGCTAGCTAAAGCTAGCTTTCGTGAAAAGAGAAAGACATGCGGCAGCACGGCAAATTCCGGCTTGGAATCAAGACACCGTAAAAAAAGGGTCCGGAAACCTGGATTCGATGATTGGACATGGGCGACATCAAAGATGATACATAACAAAACTGACACAGAGCAATAAATTGTATATTCATATTATTTACTGAACAATATGTCGAAGCACTCTATCCCCCAGAAAGCCTAAAAATGGTCTGAAACCTGAACCTTGAAAATGTCAAATATTAGACTGTTATTGAATGACAAAAATGGTTTAAAAAAGAAAACAAATAGAACAATTCCCCAGAACCCCTATTTATGCTTTGAGCAAATTTGTTTGCTTGTTTAATTTCATCCCTGAACCCTGAAGCCCTAACTTGGAAATTCCCTACCCCAAACGCCTTATTTTATCTATTCAACCCCCCCTCGAACCGCCTCCTTTCTCGAGTATCTTGCAAGCACCCTGACATCATAAAAGTCCAACTCTGGGCGGCGGCTCCCTCAGCTTACCCTGGGGACAGCATTTCTTCGCATGGGAGCAAGGGAAACACATCAGCATCATCATCACCATTTTTGTACTCACAGAATGCGGTACGGACTGCATACTTCTCGTCACTGACGTACCACTCAGGAAACCAATACAAGGAGTGTCTCTGGCTTGAGTCCAAAGAATCATAGCACTGATTCTGCTCATCCTGCAGCTCGCCAGCCCTCCACTTTGCAATCTTTGCAAGCAAATCCTGCTTCTTTTTCGGGGTGAGCGTGTGTTCCCTTACCCTTTGTTTGTTGCCTGCAACAATCCTGTCAACAATACCTTGGAGGTCCTCATCGCTCGTTTGCTGGTAAAAATATGTGCGCTCGTATTCCTCGAAAATCCCACCTTGCTGCAGCAGGAACTCAATGTTCTCCTTCCTGGAGGCCCTGGAATGCGTTCTGGCACTCTTTGCAAGCCTGCTGTTGGCCCTGCCACTGCATAGCATACATGCGTCTGTGCGTCCATATCAGCCCTCTAGAATGAGGAGTGCAAAGAACGAGCACACCGCTTGGCATCGTCTTCTACCAGGCATGATTGCACTTGGGAAAGCAAGTTGAGCATCGACAGCTGCAGAACATGAAGCGGATCAACTCAAAGCAATGGCAAACTGGCCGGCAGTTTACGGGGTGACAAGGATCAAGGTTTTGTGACTTCAGGGATTGTGTTGCCATGGGATCAAAGCTCCTCTGACAGAAACGCAACCCAGCCTCCTTGGTGTCTCAGCAAACTTGTGAGACAGCACTGCTGATTGAACTATGCAAAAGGGCAGGCAACGCATTGTTTGGTGTTTGGCATTCTTTAGTTCAATCAAACCACGGTATAACACCAATAACAAGCGGCCCTTCCCACCGACCCTGTGCCACTTCACATCTCTAATTGGTTCATCAACCGGAAGTGTCAGAGATGCTTCAAAGCTTCAGAATCGCTGACCTCAAATAGGGCAAGTCATCCCTTTAACAGACCTGATCCCCTTTTTCGCAAGATCTTCACCTCGTCGCCAACCCTAACAGAAGATATTTACGGGTTGCTTTCCCTTTTTGTGGGCGTCATTTGGAGTCATGTCCCGGGCCGAATGGACCATTTTCCTCGTATATGATAGCATGGTCTCGGGGGTGTCTATCCATTGTATGTCATTGCTTTCCCTGTTTCTCATCGGCACGAGAGAATGCATCGATAAGTACTCTAAGCAGAGTTTAGGTTAATGAGGAAGCAGGCGGCTATTCATGAACCGCTACTGCACGTTGAGCAACAGGGTTTTATGTCTGATCATGTCATTCTAAGAAGCTCATTTTGTTTGAAACACATTTGAAGAAATACTAACATAAATGATATTATGAGTTTAATAGACAATGAAGAAGAATTAGGGACCAACGCCTATCTTTGCAAGAAGTGTGACGACGCAAAACCCAGAAGATACCAAATGGACACCGCATAGCACACAACGTGCAAATAATGTAGGGATTAAGTAAAAGCAACGAAGGAATTAAGTAAGGAACAAAAAAAGCAAGAGCAACCAATGGAAATTCATACAATAAAGCCTCTGATACATAAATTTCACTAGACGTACAACATGTAAGATCTTATATGCTGTAACTGTAGTATACTTTTAGAGCACTGGTGCCTATCTACCTAGCCTTGTCCCATCCGCATTTTGCCATCCAATATTCTAGGGAATTTTACTGGGATGATCGACCTGATTTGGGTTGACGATTAGAACATTCCCTTTTCTAATGGCTAAGCGCTTTTCGGGGAGTGAGATTTCGGTGATCATGCTCTGCCCGGGCATCAAGACAAAACATGGAGACCAAAGGCTGTTCAAGGTGCAAGAAATTAAAGGCATTCCGTGAATTTAGCGAAGGGAGGATATCGTGTGATTCATGCTTGGGGAATAAAAGGGAGTGGATGAGACAAGACAGGAAAGAAGAAGATGATGTGTCCATGTTGCCAAGAATTAGCGAACAAAGAGGGAATGGCACGACATGCGCAATCCCACCGCCACATAGACAAATTAAGAGGACATTCTAGGACAAATTCGGGGGAAGAATGGGTAGAATGTATGGAGTGCAAACAATGGCTAAAGCAACGCAGGCATTTAGTAATTTAGGCTCGAAGAAACACTACACCATGTCAAAATTGCGTTGGTGCAAGTGAGTAGGTTGTTAAATTGAATAAAAAGAACCCTACTGCGATGAACATGAACTCCCCGGAGGTGTCTATATTGTTGGTGGGTCAGGGTTTTTTTCAACATTTGGCGGGGCGGGGCGAGGGTTATGCATCATGTGGATGGCACAGATGCGCACGGGAGAGGCCAAGTCTAACTCCCTTTAGCTTCCCAAAAGGAACACGTCGCTCGCGCTCGCTGGCGCGCGATCGAAAATCCCGAGCGCATAGGTGGCCTTTTGGAAAGATGGATGGGTTCCCCCTGGTAAAAAGAAGAAACCCCACCTAAACCAGTGGAACCCATCCATTTTTAATCAAGCTAACCTACTAAGGACACCAATGCCCCGAGCGGCATTGATGCCGGCTTCGCGGATCCGGAAGATGGTGAGCTTGGTGTCGCCCCTCGGTGGGTCCAACATGGGGATGATGGCCGAGAAGTGCCTCGGCTGTCCAAAGGCCACAGAAATATGGTTGTGGCTCAAAAACATGTGCCAAAATGGCACCTTGGTAAATGCCACCAAAGCCTAACACCTGCGTAACCCTACCTGGACCTTGCTCCTCCTTAAAAAAAACACGTAGTTTCCGCCTTCGCTATTGCAATGCTCGCGCCCGTTGACAGGTTAAAGGTCACACAAACCCCCGCGGCTGGGGATTCGGAAGTGCGCTCCCGTTTGCGCTAAAAGCATGATCCTGGCTCGGGCGCCTTGGTGTTGCGGCGAGGTGAGATGCAAAGGCCTGATGCGAGTGCAGGGCCAAAATTCACGCTCCCAGCTCGTCCTTTTGCATCGAACCGAGTTGCGCAAGCCCGTCAGAAGTGCTCGATGTGTGGAGTCACTCCCGAATCTGGACGATCGGTCTGAGAAGCCACTCTCGGAGCCGATCACGAAGTAGCTTGTTCTGCTTGGTGAGGCCGTCGGCCATCATGATTTGCGTGGGTATCCAACGCATCCTCCTCTGGTTGACGGACTCCTGAATGGACTTGACGTTCACCATGGGCCGCGCTTGTCCTGCAAGGACGGGTTGGCTGGCACGACAGTGTCATAGAGCGATTTGCAATCCACCGCCAACAAGAAGGTGAGGCGGTCGCCAACCTGATGTGCAGGAATATCAAAGATGATCTCCCCCAGCAAGTGGTTCGCGAAGCTGCCGCGGTCGGTGGCGACGTCGGCTGCGATGGCCTCGGCTGCCAGTGTGGACCTGCAGACTCTTGCCGACCGGCATGATTTCCAGTCGATGAGTGCGCCGGGCTGCGGTGCTTCCGTAACCTGCGAGTTGCTGAGCAGGAGGAGGAACCCATGCTGCGAGGAGGTCTCTAGGGCGTTTGCCCAACTCGAGTCGCTGTAGGCGACGATGCGCGACGATGCGGTGGAAGTTGACTCCGGGGATTGCGACGCCGTCCTTCGGATAGCTCTTGAGGAAGTCGGCCATGTCGTAGAGGTCGTGCAGGTCCCGTAAGTCGTCTGTCGTCCCTTTGCCGCCGGACTGGCGGTGGCTGCTGCCAGGACAGGTTTGTCCGGACAGCCACTGCAGGCACCCGATGATGCTGCGGAATTCTGACCAGTCGGATTCCTTGAGAAGGTCGGTGGCCTTGACTCCCTTCGGGATGGTTCCAGAGGCCACGCCGTCCAAAAACTTCTGCTGGCTGAGATGGACCTGGATATTGCCGGAGGCATCGGTCTGGACCGAAATCTGCTTGCTCTTGAAGGTCACGGGTGGTCCATCTGTCTCGATGAGGGTGGTAGATCCCCACTCGAAGAGCGATTCCAAAATGTTGAAGTCGAATTCGTCGCTATAAGTGACGAGGAAGTCGTCTACGTAGACCAGAACGGCTGAAGGTGAGTATAAAGACCATAGCGCCGTACGCGTGCACCTTGAAGCCGTTCCAGAACGTAGAGCTCGTGAGGAAAGGCACCAGCTGCCTGAACTAAAGGATCGCGAGGTGGCCTGAGATATAGAGGGCAATTGCGTTCCTCTTGCGCTTGTCGTCCCTCAAGAAAGGCTGTAGCAGCGTCTCCAAACCAAAGAGTCCATCGCGCCTTGTGGTGGAAGGCTTTGCCGTTGGCACCGCTAGCGTAGAGGGCCAGGATGATCATCTCAGATGTCCGCGATGGGGTCGGAGCTCGTCGTGTGAGCGACGGCAGGTCGGGATCCACATGGCCCTGTGCCACTATCCGGCATTTGGCCTGTGGTGGGCCCTGTCCCTTCGTCTTGTCGCGATAGCATCCTCTTGAAGGAATGATCCTCCGCCTTAGAGCTGGACTGCTCATAATCTTGTTCACCTCCTGTAGCCTGAGTGGCTTGGTTGATTTCCCCTAGCTTGCTTCCTCTTTTCGCACGGCCTCCACAAAGGCCTTGAGGTCTTCTGGAGATCTTTCCACATCTCCTGGCGTGACAGGGGCTTTCCCCTGGGGCGTGTCATTGGAGGCACGTCTCCGTCGGCTGAAGATGGCGAAGACGCATCGTCCGCTCCCGTGCGCGCCATGTAGGCCTGATAGCAGGGTCCATGGCCGTCCTTGGCGTCCACGCCGGTGAAGTAGCATCCCGGCTGAGGAACGTACCAGTACTCCATGATGATATCACGCTGGGCAGGTAGAACCGGGGGCCGTAGGCGCTGATGTCGCAAACCTTGATCAAAAACGATCTCGCCAGTGCGCGCGTCCAATGACCGGCACCAAAGTGAAGTCCGTAAAGAAGGTCCAGTGTCAAGTGGTGCGGGGACTTTCTCCGCCTTGAGGTCCATGCGCGCGCTACACTCAAGTTCCGGTAGGTCAGGTAGAGGTGGTGGTGTGGCGAAAAGTAGTCGTCGTGGCTCACAACTCGGCCTGCTAAATGTCCCGAGCGCGTCGAAGGGTCGCTTCTGAGGCAAGTCGATGGTCGCGTCCACGCCGAAAGGCTGGTTGGATGAGGCTGCCTGAGCTGAGAGCTCTGGTGGTGTTTGTGGTATCGTGTTGGGATCGAACTGTGGTGGTGCTGTGTGCTGTGAGGGTGGGTCAGATGTAGAACTAATCATGTTGGCTGCAGATGGTATCTGCAGCGAAGATTCCTCAGACTGACGTCCTTGAGGCTGGCTATTAGAGCGCTGGACCATGTCAGATGAAGCGCGTGCTTCACATTGTTGAGGCTGCTCGAGGTCTGCGCGATCGGGCGCGTGCGCGCGCTGTCTGCCGATGCTGTGGTGTGAAAAGTGCAAGTTGCTCTGTGTCGGGATGCCTCCCGTATCGGTGCTGATGTAACTGAATGTTAGTCGCTGCTTGCTGGTTCTGCATGTTATGGATGATAGGTGAGGCCTTCCGCCAGACCACGTGCATGAGTTCAAAGCAAAGGTCGCCTGAACTGCTGCTTGGTTGATCTCATCGCGACCAACCAAGCCCATCGAGTCCAAGACTCTGCCACATCTCCGCCCCAAGATCCGTCCGGATCTGTGCGGATGCACAATGGCCAGCCGAACGGGCCCAAGCGTCCAGGATGGCCTGAGCCACGCATGACGTGCTGCGGTCCTTGATCACCTTCGCGGTGCGCAGGTGGGTGGCCTCGTCGATGAGGTGGAGCAGGGCAATGGTAGTCGCCTTGAAGTCCTTGACATAGAGGATGTCCATCTGAACTCGGTGGCCCATCTGACCGATATGCTGGTCAGGAAGAGCTGCCGGGTTCGGAGCCCTGGGTGCGACACATCTGTCACAAGCGGCACAGCGTAGAGCTGTTGCGGCCTTTCCCACTTGATCTGAGTGGATGCCGTTCAGCGCGAGCAACTTGAGGAGCTCCACGTTGTTGATGCGCCCCAAGTTGCGGTGCATCCTGGCGACAGCAAACCGGATAGTCCGATCTATCTGAGTGCCAGGGAAGTCGATTTCGTCGTAGAACTTCTCGTTCCGCTCTCTGTGTGGCCTCCGGAGGCGGCTGTGCTGGTTGTTCATGAGGATCAGGTCGTTCCGGAGGCTCGTCATCGTGGTCTCCCTCAGGATACCCGCAGAAGAAGATTGCCACATCCACTTGTCGTGGAAAGCGTCCGCGAGAGAAATGCAGGTCAGAGAGGTCCTGGGTCTGGAAGTGTAGGATGTCGGAGCCAACGTACTTGATGATAGCTCCACGGTGGGTGTGAGGTATGTGAGGAGGTTGACCGTGGACAATGGGGTTCTTGGCCAGCTGTAGTCGCGTGATGGTCCAGGGAATGTTGGCGTGATGGTGTGGTATAAGGGATCGTTCTCGTCCAGCAAGATGTTGCGAGATGAGTACTCCGCCTGGCCAATGATCTCTCCCCAACTCTTCCTGATTCTCGTCCGGCTTGAAGTAGCAAAGAGTGAGGTGCTGGTTGTGCATGTAACCTCCTTGCCGGAGATCTGGATCTGGCTAGGTCTTGGATGCCAGAAAGTATGCATCTGACCATCTCCTCTGGGTTCTTCTGCGGCACATACTGTGGATGGACAAAATCCTGCACCACTTTGAGAGCATGGGAAACCATTGTTTGCCTTTGCAGTAAAAGACAACTCAAAGCAGCCCGAAAGATTGTCAAAACATGCAACGGCAGTCCAAAGTTGTGCGGCGCAGAAGAAACGTACCCATTCTGACCGCAAAACGCCCGCAAATTTCCGCAAATCTCCCACAAAAACTCGCAAACTCCCGCAAAGCAGAAAAAGTCGTAGTTTTGATGATCAAGGCATCCCATGACGTTCACTGGCACGTTGGCAAGTGCTGCGAGGTGTATTTAATTTGTATGGCCAATGCAGGACTGGAAACAGCGCAATTCGTATGTGTGTTTTGCCCAAATTGTAGCTAAACCACTGGAATTCGGTAAATCGTAGGGGTGTCCTAAAACACACAGAAATTTCCCGGAGTTTGAAGGTCCAGGTAGCTCTGTAATTTTGAGCCACACCCATATAAGGCGACGCCACCCATTTTAGAACCTATTTTAGTGGGGATTGAATCGGATGTTCACCGGGGGCTAAACCGATTTGGGTTTGACCCATGGCCAAATCTCAGATGACCTCTCGGGGTCCACGAAAAAAGAACCAACACGCGGAAGCTGGAAGCTGGGCTGTGCGTTTTCTGATCACCTGCTTCAAGTGACTCACTTTGAGTGGGGGTTAACTGGACTCCCCTCTAACCCAACGAGAAAAAAACTAAGAGCCGGGGACAGCTGGAAACTTAGCCCAGAAAGGTCACAAGGTGGGCTGTGGGCAAGTGAGGCGCATAGGCCCGTCGTTGTGGCCCACCGCCAAACCCACGGTCTTGTAGCCTGAACGCAAGCGGCGAATTACATGGGGGCACTTGCTTTTTTTCCCGCCAGACGGGATGCGAGCCCCAACACAAGTACTTCTTGTTGGTGGAAAGGGAAAACGGGGAAAACGACAATGGCACAATGGTAAAACATTAAGCTTGGCCTCGCAGACGTGGGATGACGTGGGGTTCGTTTCTTAGTCTTGCGTTCAACTTCCATACCTCTGAAAGGCATCAACTGGCGATCAAGGTGGCGCAAAAGCGCACGGGTCCCGGAAGACTTCTTCTTTTTGCAGCAACCACGTGGACCCCTTTTGAGGAAAAATTACTTCGCTTCGAGCAATCCCCACCCTCCACACTCACGAGCTTACCACCGTGAACACGGTTGTGTGAGTTCAAGCATGGTTTTCGAGTGGCTTGGGGCCTATGACTGCTCAACAAGCCTCGCATTGAGAGCCTTATCCACCTGTCTGTGTGTGTGTCAAACTCCACTTGTCTGCGAGCCGACCTCGAGAACTCAAACATCGGTTCCGTTAACAAAAGCCAAGCCCCTTCCAAAAAGAAACTGGACGGAATATACAAGAAGTTGCTTATTCGCAACCCAAAGCAACACAAAAGCATCACCCTTGCCGAGCCTCAGGGCACACTCAAAACAAGAAGGCACCAACATGACATGTAAACCCAACTTTGCGCCGGGCGGAACATTAAGCAAAACCAGACTGGCGAGCTGCTCCGGCTGGATAATGGCGGGATCCACTGAAGAATACTGGCGAGCCGCTCCGGCTCGACACTAGCCGGATACTCGGCAGGATCCACCGGCAAAGGATACTCAGCGGGATTCGGGATACTCGGCGGGATCCACTGGCGAGCTACTCTGGTGGGATACTCGGCGGGATCCACTGGCGGGCTACTCTGGGATACTCAGCGGGATAGTCGGCGGGATCCACTGACGGGCTGCTTTGCTGGGATACTTGGCGGGATCCGCCGAGGAGCTACTCTGGCGGGATCCACTGGCGGGCTGCTCTGGTGGGATACTCGGCGTGGTGGGATACTCGGCGGGATCCATTGGCGAGCAGCTCTGGCGGGATACTGGGCTCGATCCACTGGCCAGCTGCTCTGGCGGATGCTTGGCGGAATCTACTGGCGAGCCGCTCTGGCAGGATACTCGGCGGGATCGCTCTGGCGGGATACTGGGCGGGATGCACTGGCGAGCAGCTCTGGATACTCGGCGGGATCCACTGGCGAGCTGCTCTGGCGGGATACTCGGATCCACTGGCGAGCTGCTCTGGCGGGATACTCGGCGGGATCCACTGGCGAGCTGCTCTGGCGGGATACTGGCGGGATCCACTGGCGAGCTGCTCTGGCGGGATACTCGACGGGATCCATTGTCGAGCTGCTCTGGCGGGATACTGGGCGGGGGCGCGGTGTAGAAGCATCGCAAACACGGATTCCAACATAAAATCTAAAAACCCCTTCCTGTCGGGTGGGGAACCAGACAAAACCACAATATCATCATGGGATCCACTGGCATCCTCTCTGGCGGGATACTGGGCGGGATCCACTGGCATCCTGGGGAATCCTGGCGGGATACTGGGCGGGATCCACTGACATCTCTCTGGCGGGATACTGGGCGGGATCCACTGGCATCCTCTCTGGCGGGATACTGGGCATGGGGATACTGGGCGGGATCCTGGCATCCTCTCTGGCCTGGGCGGGATCCACTGGCCTCTCTGGCGGGATACTGGGCGGGATCCACTGGCATCCTCTCTGGCGGGATATTGGGCGGAATCCGCTGGCGGAATTGTTTGGCGGGATACTGGGCGGGATGCACTGGCACACGGGATCCATCCTCTCTGGCGGGATACTGGGCGGGATCCACTGGCATCCTCTCTGGCGGGATACTGGGCGGGATCCACTGGCATCCTCTCTGGCGGGATACTGGGCGGGCATCCACTGGCATCCTCTCTGGCGGGATACTGGGCGGGATCCACTGGCATCCTCTCTGGCGGGATACTGGGCGGGATCCACTGGCATCCTCTCTGGCGGGATACTGGGCGGGATCCACTGGCATCCTCTCTGGCGGGATACTGGGCGGGATCCACTGGCATCCTCTCTGGCGGGATACTGGGCGGGATCCACTGGCATCCTCTCTGGCGGGATACTGGGCGGGATCCACTGGCATCCTCTCTGGCGGGATACTGGGCGGGATCCACTGGCATCCTCTCTGGCGGGATACTGGGCGGGATCCACTGGCATCCTCTCTGGCGGGATACTGGGCGGGATCCACTGGCATCCTCTCTGGCGGGATACTGGGCGGGATCCACTGGCATCCTCTCTGGCGGGATACTGGGCGGGATCCACTGGCATCCTCTCTGGCGGGATCCTCTCTGGCAGGAGGGTGTGGTGTAGCAGCATCGCAAGCGTGGATTCTACTTCAAATCTAACAACCCCTTCCTGTCGGGTGGGGAAAAACTAAAGCCCCCCATGTTCAAAGAAGAAAACCGGCTGATCCTTTGAGGGAAGCAAAATCCAGCTTCCTGGACCTACACCCCGTCTCCACCTAGGGACTTCCTCCATCTGCCCAAGCCTGGGAAAAATGAGACCAACAAGGGCAAATTAAACATATTCATTTCAGCAAATGGAAGTGTTTGTCAGGCACACCCTGATGGCGGACCCCAGAGGACCTTGCCTTAAAGTCCTTTCGCCCGGTCCAAACAGCGGATCCCCTCTAAGACTGGAAACCCACTATTCATCCGCCGGGTTCATTGGTCAACGTCGAAGCGGCCTTTTCGGTCTTCGCTCTTTCGCATTTCAATCCCCTCATTGGAAGTCAATGAGGCCACCCAAACAAACCATGAGAAATGTATCAAGAGGGCCTCCTTCATGGGATTCGGGCCCTCTTCCCCGCACATTGACTTTGGGCGCTTTTGAAGGCCCTGACCTTTTGTTTACATGTCATGGCCAGGTCCCTTCGCCCCCAAAAGCCCTTTCCACGCCCTCTTCTTGCGCTTCGCGCCCCCCCAATCAGACCCCAAGACCACCAGACCACCAAAAGGTTCAATGCGAACCCTTCGGTCAGCACGCCTTCGATTGGTTCCGGGTGCCCTTATTTGTTTCGCCAATGAGGCCTTAGGTTGCTCGCAAAAAGGGTGTCTTCAAAAGGGTCCCCCGAACGAAGGCTCACCACGAAATAGGGAGAGCATCGGCTCGCCACGAAACAAATCACCAAGAAGATGCCTTCTGCAACCTTTCCCGCGCCCAAACAAGCTCCTTAGGATATCCAACAAATCCTCAATATTCACCAGGACTTGAGAATTCTCTTTCTGCCGGGCCCCCAGCCAGTCCAACGGGAATTGGGGGGGCAGGTTCCTTCCCAAAGCCTTCCTTTCCCAGAGGGACTCCATCCGCTCGTTCCATCCAAGGAACTCAACACGGGCTCTCTTTGAATACCGAGCCAAGCAAAAAGCTCGCACAAAACGCGGAAGGTGATTGATTCAACCGCGCCAAGAACAGAGCGCCAACAAGAACAAAGTGGCGGTAGGTCAAAATGCCAACAGATTGAACTATTGAATGCTTGCTGATTCTCAGCAGAGAATGAGATATGACAGGACCCCTAGCAACCATCCATCCTATGGTTTCATTTCAGGGAATCCGCAAACGGTTCTGGGTCACCTTCCATCCTACGGCTTCCTTTAAGGGAATCCCCCCGTCCTTCACCCACCGCAGGCGCAAGAAAAAACCATACGATTTTTGTCGCACCGCGCCTTGGCTGGAGAAGCGAAGGTCCACCTCCTTGAGCTCGTCTTTGAGCTTCTCCGCGTCTTGGCACTCCCAGCAGTCGCCGCCGTCGTCCCCGGTGATGAGGACCTGGAGGTCACGTCGGGTGACGTCAAAGGCTTGCTGAGGTCGTGAGGGCAGGTCTTGGGTTGTTTGCGGTTCGTTCAGGCTCGGCAACCTAGGGACCTGAAATAAAACGTGAGCATGTGTAGGGGAAACCCGTGAATAAACATGGGAACCCGAAGTGGGGGCAAGTCAGCCCTAGAAAGGCAAGGTTTGAGCAAGGGTTCATAAAGCGCTGGGGTCTGTCCAAAACAGAATGGAAAAAAAGAAAAACAAAAAGGAAACAAATGACCTCTAATCCCGGAGGTTGATTGGCCGGGGTGGGCAACTCAAAGCCGCTGTTGCCTTCAGCAACCCCGCCCACCTCACCTTTCAGCCAGAAGCCTCAAGCTTCTTTTGGTTTACCTTGAGCCTTGAGGGGCCCAGAGGTTGCTCGCTTCCACCAACTGGTGCCTGGTGCTGAACTGGGTGGAAACCTGGTCCAGTTTTGACCGGAGATTCCACCATCACCTTTTCGGGGAAATTGATGCTGAGTTTCCGGTTCCGGTGGTGGTTCATGTTGCTTCACAAGAAGGCCTGTAGAATGGAGACACCCCCCCTCCAAAAAACAAACGAACAATAATACTCATGATGATGATGATGGTGATGGTGATGACGATGACGATGACGATGACGATGACGATGACGATGATGATGATGATGATGATGATGATGATGATGATGATGATGATGATGATGATGATGATGATGATGATGATAGCAATCGTTATAACAAGAATAACAAAAATAAATGCCGAAATGGGGGGGGTCTTTTTGAGGGTACCCCTTTCGTGTGGTTTTACATGGAAACCAAAAGGACAACCGCGATCTTGGGGCTTACCAATCCTTACAACAGCTGCGGCACCCTCAACAAAAACCCCCGTCGCTTCGCGCGAAAAATCATAGAGCTTCGCAGCCTCCCCCCCAACCACAAACCCCCCCCAACCACAACAGCTTAAATTGAGACTATTTTGGTCTTACGTGGGGACCCGTGTTTTCTCTTATTTTGACACTAATTTGGTGTTTATTTTGAGGCTAAATTTGTGGTATGTGTGTTGGCTTATTTTGAGATTAATTTGGTGCTATTTTGACACTAAAGTGGTCTTATGATTTTTGCGCTATTTTACACTAATTTGCTGTTATGTTGATAGCTTTGTGATAATGGTTTCTCGCTTGAGCGGTCCTTTCTCTTCACAATCGGGTGAGGCAACAAGGAAAAAGCAGAAAGCACCCAATTAGTGTCAACATACTGTCGACATAGTGTCAAAACAGTGTCAAGACACTAACAAACTAGTGTCAACATAGTGCAGCAAATTTCACACTAATTTGGTCCCAATTTGGCGTTTCCTGCAGCAGAGCAAGGTTTTTCGAAGCCAAACTCCGCGAGGACAAAGCAGAATTACGAGCGCCTGTGCAGAGTTTGGAGCAGCTCTTTTAACATTTCTACACAATTACCAAATTAGTGCCAACATAGTGTCAAAATAGTGTCAAATTAGTCTCAAATCTGTGTCAAAACAGTGTCAAAATACCGCTCAAACAAGGCACGAAGGAAGGCGTGAGGAGGAGCCCAAGATGCTAGTTTGACACTATTTGTGCATGCATTCTACACAAATTTAGTTTTTGAAGCTAAACTCCACAAGGACAAATCTCGAGCGCCCGTGCAGACTTTGAAGCTTTTTTACTTTTTTACACAACAGCCAAAATTAGTGTCAAAATAGTGTTAAAGCAGTGTCAAAATAGTGTCGAAGTAGTTCCAAAACAGTGTCAAAATAGTGTCCAAGACAGTGGACATATCAGTGTCAACAGTGTCAAAATAGTGTCAAATAGTGGTGAAATAGACCCAAACTAGTGTCAACATTGTGTCACAATATCGCTCAGACAAGGTACGAAGGCGTGAGGAGGAGCCCCAAATTCTAGTTGGCACCAATTGTGCATTCATTTTGCACTATTTTGGTACCAAAAAGGTGTTGAATTAAACTCGACAAGGACAAAGCAGAATTACGTGCGCCTTCGTACCTTGTCTGAGCGGTATTTTGACTAGTTTGAGACAATTTTGACACTAATTTGACACTGTTTTGACACTACTTTGGCACTATTTTGGCACTATTTTGACACTATTTTGACACTTGACACTATTTTGGCATCATAGCGCAGAAATGCTCCAAAATCTGCACAGGCGCACGTAATTCCGCTTTGTCCTTGTGGAGTTTAATTCAAAACCTTGCTTTGCTGCAGCAAAGCAAGTTTTCAGCTCCAATTTGCACATTTTGGCACCGCAAAATGAATGCGCAATTAGTGCCAAACTAGCATTTTGGGCTCCTCCTCACGCCTTCGTACCTTGTCTGAGCGGTATTGGGACACTATTTTGATATTAATTTGATACTAATTTGACATTGTTTGCACACTATTTTGACACAAATTTGACACTATTTTGACACTTTGACACTGTTTTGACACTAATTTGACACTGTTTTGTCACTAATTTGACACTATTTTGGCAGAAATGCTCCAAAATCTGCACAGGCGCACGTAATTCTGCCTTGTCCTTGTGGAGTTTAATTCATTTTGCGGTGCCAAAATGTGCAAATTGGAGCTGAAAACCAGCGTTTGCTGCAGCAAAGCAAGGTGTTGAATTAAACTCCACAAGGACAAAGCCGAATTACGTGCGCCTGTGCAGATTTTGGAGCATGTCAAAATAGTGTCAAAATAGTGTCAAAACAGTGTCAAATTAGTGACAAAATAGTGTCAAAGTAATATCAAAATAGTGTCCCAATACCGCTCAGACAAGGTACGAAGGCGTGAGGAGGAGCCCAAAATGCTAGTTTGGCACTAATTGCGCATTCATTTTGCGGTGCCAAAATGTGCAAATTGGAGCTGAAAACCAGCGTTTGCTGCAGCAAAGCAAGGTTTTGAATTAAACTCCACAAGGACAAAGCGGAATTACGTGCGCCTGTGCAGATTTTGGAGCATTTCTGCGCTATGATGCCAAAATAGTGTCAAATTAATAGTGTCAATTAGTGACAAAACAGTGTCAAATTAGTGTCAAAACAGTGTCAAAGTGTCAAAATAGTGTCAAATTTGTGTCAAAATAGTGAAAACAATGTCAAATTAGTATCAAATTAATATCAAAATAGTGTCCCAATACCGCTCAGACAAGTTACGAAGGCGTGAGGAGGAGCCCAAAATGCTAGTTTGGCACTAATTGCGCATTCATTTTGCGGTGCCAAAATGTGCAAATTGGAGCTGAAAACCAGCGTTTGCTGCAGCAAAGCAAGGTTTTGAATTAAACTCCACAAAGACAAAGCGGAATTACGCGCGCCTGTGCAGATTTTGGAGCATTTCGCAAAAGAAATGCTCCAAAATCTGTTTAGCTTCAACCTTGCTCTGCTGCAGCAAACGTGCTTTGTGGCTCCGGTTTGCTCATTTCAGTACCAAGTGAGTGCAAAATGAATGCGCAACTAGTGCCAAACTAGCATTTTGACCTCCTCCTCACGCTTTCGTAGCTTGTCTGAGCGGTATTGTGACACTATTTTGATACTAATTTGATACTAATTTGACACTGGTTTGACACTATTTTGGATCATAGCGCAGCTAACACAATCTCAAGTTAATCCCAAAATAGTGTCAAAACAGTCTCAAATTAATCCCAAAATAGTGTCAGCAAAATAAGCCCAAGATAGTGTCAAAATAAGGGGTCCTGTTTTTGAGATGTGTTTGTGGGGGGGGGGGGGTGTTTGGGGGTTCGGGGGGTATGAAAAAAGGTCGCCTTGTCCATCAGGCCCTTGGAGATCTTCAGCTTGCCTCGGCAGTCAGTCTGTCACACCGAGCCCAAATGGGCGGCTCAAGTGTTGAGTTGGTCCCAGTTTTCTGGGCAAAGGCAAACCAAAAGGACAGACCTGAAGCCATTTTTCAGATGTCCCCCCCCCCAAAAAAAAAGAAGACACGCCCAAGTGGACAAACACGGGCTCGCCCATCTAATTTACTTGCTGGCGGGCTTGCGCTTGTTCAAGGCATGGCTTATCACCCACTTGAGAAGGGTTAACACGGTCCCCCTGATGAAAGGAAAGGGCTTGCATGGAGCTCAACAGCTTGACTATGTTAAGAGGCAATGTCCCTTCCGCGAAAAGGGGCTGACAAAGCGAGCAAGAGACAAGGTGCACAGTGATTTGACGAGCAAAACGGTGCGAAAAGCAGACCGAAGTGTGAAGTGAAGCGATCAAAAAGAGGTGAAAGAGGAGCGAAGCAATCAGGCACGCAGGGGGGGGACCAAAGGGCGGACCAGGGATAAGCCCCAAGCTACCCTCCTTGAGGCTACCTTTCTTGATGAGTGTTTGGTCCTTTTTCTGGAGAACCCAAAAAAAAATAACGCCCCAGGTTGCGCTCTTGCGCCTCCGCCCTCTGATTCCCCGACAAAAAGCAGCGGACCAACTCATGTGCTCCCGACGTGGATCCCACTAAGAACATGTTAGCACCACTTAACGCTGCGTGGAGTAGGTTAAAGAGCGGAGTTGGTGGGGGTGGGAAGAAGCCGAGAGTGAGAGAAATCAGCTTTGCAACGGCACATAACAAACTTGGTATGAGTTTCTATTGGAGGCTCTTTGCTTGGTATGGTGTACAATATTCGTACCCACCAAGCTGTTGTTGAGGGTGACCCCCCTCTCTAAACCTCAGCCAAATGGGCCTGCGCTGCGAAAGCTTTGCCCTGTGTCAAGTTTGGATGGAGGCGAACCCGGCAGCAATCATACCAGGGGTTGATTCCCCATTCTTTCAATCATCCTTCTATTGAAAAAAAAAGCCATTGTCCCTGGGTTTCTGGAGGTTTTCTGGAAAGAAGGATCCCTGGAAAGAATGGGGAAGGTACCCCTAGAAATCATACCAGATTGTTTCAACCCCACAGCGAGATTCAACCTGTGGATTTCTTTGGTTGCTTCCTTGGGTCGCCCGGATTTCTGCCTTTGGGTCTGTCTTTCTGTAAGGGGACCCACCAAACAACATGTGGTTTTCCGGTTGGCTTCCTTTTACAAGCACCCCAAAAAGGCCAACCCCTTACAAGACACACCTTCAACCGGAGGTCCGTTTTTTTGAGAAAAAAAACTGTTTCGATGGTAAGGGAAACCCAAAAGAAACCAACTCACCAGCCCCACGCCTCTTCGTTTCCGCCGCTTCGGCGAACTGACCTCATTATTCTTGACCATGATCAAAGTCACCCCAACTAAGCGATGGCTTAAAGTTGGAAACCACCGATTCCATTTTCTGACTTTGATAACCCCCCCCCAAAAAAAAAAAAAAACGGAACCACCGATCCCATTTTCTGAGACCTTTTATCCACCCCTAGAAACGGTCAAAGCGGGGAAAAAAATAAATCCCGCCCCGGGCGAAGCGGCCCTTCTCCGCGTGCTCGCAGTAGACCACGGTGCGCTTCACCGTGGGGTTGAAGCCCACGAACTTGCCTCGGCATCGGAAAGGAGAACATCGCGAGGGCCCGAGGCCATCCGAGGCCGAAGGGGATTGTTTTTAGGGGATTTTTTTTGGGGTTCTTTTTTTTAGGGATTTTGTTTCTTTACGGGGGGGAAAAAAGGAGGAGCCTTTTTTGGTTGACTTTAAAGAGGGGGGCCCTTCCCAAAAAAGAAGAAAAAAGGGGGACGATCGGCATCCGGTGTTTCTTCTTTTTCTTTTTCTTTTTTGGTTGGTTGACTTTAAAGGGGGGCCCTTCCCTAAAACAAGAGAGAAAAAAAGGGAAGCACTGGGCCGAACATGTTGCGCAACCATCACCATTAGATACCATTAGTGAACCGGAAAATGCGCAAAAACATCTGAAGATCCCAGGTACCCCTCTTTTTCGCAAAGGAAAGCAGGAGGCACTAGAGACCAAACCTCATCCTCGGCTTCTGGACAACTTGTCCGGGGTCCGTCCCGGCCCTAAACCCCTTTCCTGTTTTGTCCTGGCAGGATGCGGACCAATGGGGCCGCCCCCTCTCCCTTTGATGTGTTGTCCATGAGGTAGGCATATTGTGCCATGGACATTTTGGGCCAAGGCCCCGGGCTCTTCTTGTACAAGGCCATCATCTTCTCCGCCTCCTCCTCTCCGAAGTGCTCGTGCCCACTGCCCAGCACCGCCTTGTCGATGGGGTCCTCCTTGTTCCTCGACAGCTTCTAACCGACTCCGGCTCCGGCCGGCCGGCGGCGCAAAGATCCGGGGAAGCACACACGAGGAATTCGCTTCTTGCCTAGGTCCTCCAGTAGAGAGGTTAGAATAAGTTGGTACCAACTTTTTTCTGCAGTCTCCCCCAAAACAGTACTGGGGGACCTAGTTCTTCTCACGGTTCCACCATAAGCAAGCATTAAATTCAAAAAACCTCCGGAATTCACATGGTTTTTGAGAGTTACACTACTATGGCCACTGGCAGCGCTGGGATACGAACCCTCAAGGCAAAAGGTCCGCCAAAAGACACCGCCCAGCTCTCACCCAAGTGCCTAAGAAAGTTCTGGTTCCCCTGCTAGTTGCAAAAACAAATGCCCAGGTGGCATCCCCAACTGGAACGTCCTGGAACCCTCCTGAAAGCTGCCCTAAACCAGCCCAGGGCCTATCCTGGGCAGAGACCCCATGAAACAAAAACATGGGGCAGCCTGCAACCAAAAAAACAGGAGCCACGCATGTTCCGTTGGAGCTCCATGGTTTCCAGAGCTTCCAGGAAATGTTGGGGCAAGAGCAACGACCGGCGCACTTCGGCCTCGCTCCCGGTCTCGTTTCCCCTCGATCCGAGGGGCGCGGGGTTCGAGGCGAGGCAGGCGTAGAGCAGCGCGTCATCCCGGGAGATCTTGGAGGTCCAGGTGCGGTGCGGCAGAACCCGCATGTCCTGAGCCCATCTGAGCCCGCAACCTTCGCAACCAGCCCGCACCACTTTGAAACCATGGTTGACACCATGGTTTGATGGTATGTACAGGGGAATCGTCATTCTAGGGTTTCTTGGGGGGTGCAGGATTTCGTCCATCCACAGTATGGCTTGGCAAAAAAGGCGGTTTCGGTTTCTTTGCCCCACCCCCAAAAAAATGAAAGCCCAAAGAACACATACATAAAACAACGTAATCCAAGAACAGTGAAGCGGTGGCTCAGGACCTGCACGTCGGTGGCCCCAAAGTGTCTGAAAGGGTGCTATTGTGCCACTTTGGGCAATAGCCTCCAGAGATGCTCCAGAACGGGGGGCGGGGGCGGGAAGGGGAAGGGGTTTGGTCATCTTTTAGGGTTGAGCTGGAGTTGAAAAAATGCAAATAGATGCCGTATCATAAACACAAGTGCCAGTAGATTCTACCTTTCAGTAAAATTCATCATAAACACTCGTTGACCGGTTGGTTAAAACCAGGAGCCAAAGAGCCCCCGACTTTGAGGCATGCCCTGATCACATGGTCCGTGTGCGTGAGGCTTCTGTTTGCCAGGGGTAGCAGGTTGTTTTCCCATCATAGACCATCCTCATAACTACTTTGTCACTTAAGGGCTTGTTCCTTTGGTATCACAGCAGTTGGGCCTTTAAAAAACGAATTGTCCCACAATCATGCTGGCTTAAGCATGTTCAAGCCAGTGGTTGGCCGCCAGTGAGGTGCCCCCCCCAAAACACACCTGCTCAAGTCTCCGCAGTCGTCAGCGTGCCCGTCTTGTCGCTGCACAACACCGTCCTTGGCGATTCCCAGATGACTTCGACCAAATCACGACCCCCCCCCCCAAAAGAATAGGGTGTGCTTACTGTTTGTTTAAGGTTGGCTGAGGCCGGGTGTACGGCTGGTTGAGGCTGGTTAGGGTGGGTTTAGTTGCGGCTTTATCTGGCCACTGGAAAGCAATCCAAACAAATGCGACATCCCCCCCCCCAATACATCAAGTCAAAAATCCGGGGTTTACACCACTCACCAGCCAGCAAGTTTGCAAGGCGACCCAGCCCCAATTTTGGGTGACGTTAACCCCTGACAAAATAAACCGCCAAATCTTGCTTGCTGTTGACCCCTCTGCCAAAAAAAGTGAAGCCTTGTGTGTGTGGGTCCAATGGAAAAAATCCCGCCCTGTTTCAACCAAAGGACCCGTCCAGTTTGTAGCAGAAGGTCAGCATGGCTGAAACCCCAGGATGGGACGGACAAGTTGTCCTTTTGGCTTCCCTTTCAACTAACAAGAAAGGGGTCAAAAGGACCCATTCTAGAAGTGGGGATATTGCAAAAAAAACAAAAAAAACATCGCCAAGCAAGACGACCTCAGCCTTTGCCCACTAAAAAGCCCTAGTTTCCGGGCTACTCCAAGCCCGTAAAAGCTCCATCCGGTCTCTTGGGGGCGATTCGACCATGGATGCCCCATACTCAGGTTCCGAGGTCCGAGACCTCGAGAAGAGTTGACCAGGGAACATGTCAACCTTCCATCCGCTTCCTTCCAGGTGGGTGGCTTTTTGGAGCCGCAACCCGGGTGGTTTTGGTGGTGGACGTATCCTCTACACGAGCCAGGGGTTCAAATCCTGGAAGCCGACCCCTTTTCGGATGCCCGGCCATGACTGAACATGGAAACTGCAGGGAAATCAAGAAGGTCAGGTCCGATAAATTCGGACCTGGGCAACGTGAGAAGAAAAAGGTGTCCTTGGCTGCTGCTGGTGACCCATCTCTGCAAAAAGTGAACAACTTGTCGCGGGGAATGGCAACATCACACCTGCTTCAAAAAGTCAAAGTCCAAAGATGTCCAACGATCCCTTGCATCACCATAAAGTTGTCCAGTGCCTCCTTTTGAGCTAACGCAAGGTCCTCCAGTAGAGAGGTTAGAATAAGTTGGTACCAACTTTTTCCTGTAGTCTATTTTAGTAGGGGGTTTCCTTCCCAACCAAAAAAGGGGTGAGAAAGGGGGGACCTAGTAACGCTTGCCGCGTCTCAGTTGTTCTGGAGAGAAAAAGGGAACCCTTTTTGGAGACCATTTTTAGTGGGGCAGTCACCCAAAACCCCCCCCCCCAACAAAAAAAAAAAATGGAAAAAGGGTGCCACTGAACAACTGAGGCATTCGGTTTCTTTTGGACCCCGAAAAAAGGCGTTCCCAAGGCGCATGGAGGCGATCTCCTGAAGGGCGGTGAGGTGGGTGACGATGGCCTTTGGGAAAATCGGTGCGGTTGCGTCCCCGATTGAGGCCAGACGGACCACCCACTGTGCATCAAAAAAAGACTGGCAAATAAGATGGCTTAAACAAACTTAGGTGAAAAAGGAAAAACGTGTTTCAAGTGTCATTAAAACAAAGGACTAAGGTGAACAAAAGAAATATGGGTTCACGTTTCATGTTGGTTTTCTTTGAGGGGACCCAATCATGCCGCCCATTTGCCCTGCTAGCCCATCGACCCTCAAGAACCCGCCGATCCCAAGCGCCGAGGGTGCCTTGTGTCAGCTTCCCCTAATCGGAAGCTGGATCCCAAGCACCAGTGCCCACCTGAGTAGTTCCAACACCTGTCGACCCGATTAACAAACCCATCCCATAAAATTGCCCCGATCCATGATACTAGCCAACTCAAAGCACCAACTATCGACTTCGCCCTGATTGGCGGCTTGAAGTGGTTTGGTGGAACAGGCTTCGAATCCAAATCCAAACCAATCCAACATACCTCTTTTCTTGGTTGCATTTTGCCAACGGATGTTAGGACTTTAACTTTTTGCCAACTAATGGGGTTTTTCCATTAAACCACTAATAAGTTAAACTTGTGGCAGGGGAGCAGAAAGCAACCGAGAGAAGGTAATTCGAAGTTTCAGGTGGCCGGTCGGGTTGGTGGTTTGGGGACTTGAGCTCAAGGTTGGCTTCTGAGCATGTTGCTTCTAGCTTAGGGTATGGGTTTCAGGTAACACTTTGTAACCCCTTGGTGGTTTTGGTTGGACGGGCAAGGGCGGCTTGGAGTTTCTTGAGGTTCTGCTCCCATCCGGTTCAAAGCAGGCCGCGTCAGAAAACCGAGGCCACCCGCCTGGCGCTTCGCCATCGAGGCGGCGCCGATGGCCATGGTCACCTCAAGGGCAGAACTTGGCTCCGCTTCGACGTCGACCAAAAAGAAAGAGAACACCGCCCCCCTGAGAAAAAGAAACACGGGGGTTTTTGAGGGTGCGTTTTCCTGGTTTTGAGGGTGTTGTTTCCTGGTTTTGAGTTGTTTTTTTCTTTTTCTGGTTTTCAGTGTGTTTTTCTTCTGCTTTTTAAGGGGTGCGATTTTCTGGGTTTGAGGTGGTTTTGAGGGTGCTTCTGGTTTCGAGGATGCTTTTTCTGGTGGTCTTTTTTCTGCTTTTTAAATGTTGCTAGTTGTGAGGGTGTTTTTTTCTGGTTTTGAGGGTGCTTTTCTGGTTTTGAGGGTGCTTTTCTGGTTTTGAGGGTGCTTTTCTGGTTTTCTGGTTTTGAGGGTGTTTTTCTGGTTTTGATGTGGTTTTGAGGGTGCTTCTGGTTTTGAGGGTGCTTTTCTGGTTTTGAGGGTGTCTTTTTCTGGTGTTGAGGGTGTTTTTGTTCTGCTTTTTAAGTGCTATTTGTCTTCTTCTTTTTCTGGTGTTGAGGGTGCTTTTCTAGGGTGCTTTTCTGGTTTTGAGTTGTTTCTGTGTTTTTTTTTTGGGGGGTGCTTCTCTGGTTTTGAGGGGTGTTTTTTGTGGTTTTGAGGGTGCTTTTTCCTGGTCTTGAAGGTGCTTTTCTGGTTTTGAGGGTGCTGATTTTGTTGGGCTCTTTGCTTGCTTGTTGTTTTTGGTGTTGTGTGTGTGTGTGTGTGTTTTTTTGGGGGGTGGGTTATGGGTTATGCTCCGCTCAAAAACAAACACCTGTTGTTTGTTTGCTTCTTTTCCTCGGTGAGTGGGGCGTTTCCGCCATTCGTGGGAGCCACAAATATGTTTCTTGCGCGTGCTTAATGTTTGGTTGCGGTTTTGGGTGGTTCTGCCTCCCTTACAAAGAGTCACCTTTTTGATTGAGTTGTTTCGACACCAAAATTTAATCAAAACATTGTGTTTTTTCTGGGTTTGCTCCCGGCAATGGGTTTGTTTTTGAGGGGGGCAAAACAGAAAAACAACTGTCCAACATAACAACCCTCAAAAAAGCATCTGTTCGTTCTTGAGGGCAATGCACACAAGAAACAACGATGTGTCAATTGGTGTTGAAACTCCTCAAGCAACGTTTTTGAGGGAAAGAATGCTTCCAAACTAGGCCAACCCCTCAAGCATTCATGATACTAGCAATCCCCTCCAAAAGGGAGGTAAAAAGCACCTTTCCCCACCCGTTCTTTGGCACAAAAATCCCAGGCGGTATCCCCAAAAGCCCTGCAACCTCCAGCCCTCCGCGAGCGAAAGCTGCCCACAGCCGAGACGGGGGCAGAGCCCCGCAAGCCCGCCTGCATCACCAGGGGCAGTGCGATGGGCACCGCCCCGATGACCAGCGCCAGCACGTTGAGCAGCGCTTTGGAGAACTTGGTGCCGCGGTGGGCCACGTCAATGTAGAGCACCTCCGTCGAAAAAATATCGAAGGGAAACCAGGGGAAAGAAACGAAACATCCCCTTAAAGTGGAGGGAGGTGGGGGGTGCCCCAAATTCCATTTATCTAGGCCTCCCCCATGAAAGGGAAAATGGAACCATAAATGGAATTCCAGGGGTCCACCCCCTCCCCTTCCCCAATTCCATTTTTGAAGCGGCGCGGGGATAGCGAAAAAATGTAGACGTATTTAGTTCAAGCTGGAATTCAATGGTAATCACCTCTTGGGACCTTGACAAACATCTGGACAAAGCCAGGGAAACCAAAAGGTTGAAAGAGCGATTCACGTTGGTTGCTTTGGTGAGCAGAGATGTGTTGCAACCCTAAGGGAAACCAAGGGAAAACCAGCTCAAGGGCATGCAAAAGAACAACAAACAAGCACCCCAAACCAATTTGTGGACATCCAGCTTACCTTTTGGCTCATTGGACTGATGGGCCCCACAGGCACAGGGTTGAAAAAACAGGTCCCTAACAAAAAGCGGCGCCAACCAACCAAGCCAACGAAGCCAACGAAGAAGGGCGGCGCTCGATAAAAGGTGGCAGAGAAAGACCCAGAACGAGAAAGGATTTCCAGGATACATCCATTCAAGAGGGACCTGGCCACCATGCCTTCGACGTGAACCGGCGGCTTGCCGGCGTTGTTCGGTTGCCAAAAAAGAGTCGGCACACAAAGGATTCTCTTCGGAGCGCCAAAAAGGAAATCGACCAGCCTCCACCCCACCAAAAGCTATGGACACCGGGCTTTTGCAGCCAGGACCCTTAAAAGACCAGCAAAAGGAGGAGGTGGCGAACTAAAGCCCAACCTCTTCCCTCAAAAACCTTCATGACAAACCATCACTCTAAATAAGCTTACACAAAGACTTCATCGATTCTTCCAGTGTCCGTCATCCCCCCTCCCCCCCACCCTCACCAAAAGCGAGACCGCAAAAAGAAAGAAGCGAAACGCGAGAACCGGGGGCCCCGGCCACCCCGGCGTCCACCAGCGCCAGCAGAATCACCGCATGCCTCGGCCGGCTCACCTCTTTGCAGAAATCCGCCACCAAAAGACGCGGAGACCAGACGGAAACCCGTCCCACAAACATGGGGTGGTTTTTAGGGCCCCCATTTTTGTTGGTAAAGGGAAGGCAAACGGAAATTAATCATTTTGGGGGGCTCATTTTGACAGCACCTAAGAAAAAAAGCCATGCCGCAAAAGGAATGAGAAGCAATGCTTTGTTGACGGGGCCCTTTCAAGCAAAGCAACATAGGCATTCAACAGGTGGAAACAACAAATGTTGTGCGTCCTTCCTGCAGCTTGGCGCCCAAAATGGGGTTGCTTTAAAAGGCAGTCAAAGCAAAACCACGGGTTCACCATCTCATGATGAGCGGGCGCAAGGTAATCTCAAGGAAGAGTGTGTTCAGCTCACGAATAAATGATGTTGGTTGTAAGGGCGTTCCCTTCAAGCATGATTTCCATGCATGGTCAAGAATGGCTGTCTGCAATGCCAAAGTAAGCTGATTCCCTTGGCCGCTCCATCAATTTCAATTTTCCACGTGGTAAGGAGGCACCAAAACCTGGAGGTATCCTCAACATGACACACTGAACAGTGGTTTCAAGGGAAACAAACCCAAAAGTAGGTTCGTGCACCCTCGAAATGTCCGCTTGAACCGCCTCCAAGACCACGGTCCGGGAATTCTATTCGACCCTCGCCTCCTCTCCCAAGAAACACCAAACAAGCAAGAAGAACCCCGCCACCCGCATAGTTTGACCCGGATCCCGCGGAGGGGCGCAGCAAGCGGAGTGGAAGCAAGCGACGATTTGCGCGGGGGGCACTGCCGGTTGCAATCCGAGCGGCACCACCTGCATGATCTTGGTCTCGAACATGCCCGGCTGGTGCCCGGAGGCCTCCGCCACCAGGCCGGCCGCCTGACGAAGAGGGAAGAGGGGGGGGACGAGGGACAAGGGGAGGGGGGGGAGGGGACGGGGGGACGAGGACTTTGCGCGGCAAAACTCCACCAGCTTGGGGTGAAAAACGAGGGAGCAGAAAGTTGGGGCGAAAACTGAGGAGCTGCAGCAGAATTTGCGAATTCTTTGGCGAAAACCGAGGGGTTGCCAGAAGTCACAGGTTGCCGTGTACGTTCGCCCGTGAGTTATTTCTCGGGCTCAATGTGGGGAAGCATGGGGGGTGTTTCCATTCTCATCCCGGAGCAAGAGCAGGAGAATCCATGTGAATGTATGGGTAAAGCGGGAATTGGGCACTTGCCGAGAATTTTCCGTGCACCCAGAGCTGGAAATGTGAAGCCAACCTTTTGGGGCCATGACGAAGAATGGGAACATATGGGAACTCAACAAGGGAAAGCCAAAAGATCGAAAGGTCGATTCTCTTTGGGCAAATCAGTGCTGGTGGAAAAACGAGGGAGTCTTTTCGATGATCTGGTCACGTACACATTGGGCTACGAATTTGCGTTCGGCATCCGAGTGCTAAAAACACAAGCCCCGTAAGCCCCACAATCCTACGATCTCGGGGCCCAGTTTCACAGGCAACCATCTTCGGCTTTGTTTGGGGTGCAGATGACACGTGGCTATGGGTCAAAACCCCGGTACCCCCAGAACGTCTTCTAAGACAGTGGAGTGGTAACCTTGATTGGTATTGGGTTGGATCTTTAGACTTTAACTTTTGAAAATATGTGCTTTCCACTAAGCCCCCAAAAAGTTAAATATCAAAAAAGCGGGGTCAACAGCAACCAAGTAACCATCCCCAAAACGGCAGCTTGTTGACCCACCACGTGCCAACTTTTGGGGGACTGCCTTCGTCGCCCGCCTGGCCGATCTCCGTGTTGAGGCCCGTCTCCTCGCGAGTCCGCGCGATCGTCCACCGGTTCACCGGCGCTCGCTCTCTCGGTCTCTCGGTATGAACTGGCAAACCTCCCCGGGCAGGGTTGAAAACCGGCAGCAGGTCCGAGCTCAGTTGGACCCCCATGGAAGCGCCTTGGGGACTCCAAACCACTCAGTTTCCCAGGCCAGACTTGCGCGCGTGAGGTCCCCTTGGCGTAGCCGAAGCCCCTCGGCCGACTCCGGCGATTTCCCCAGGCCAAAAGCTCAGGAAGTTTAGGGCACCTGTTGCCGCCCAAAAGGCGGCTCTAGATCACCGAGCTGTTTTTTTTTTCCCCCTAGACACTTGTCCCTAGTAGCTGGGAGAGAAAGAGAAATCGATCCACATGGAAACAAACCGCTACTTCCTGGGCCCATCTGTGACTTCGCGCTGGTAAGCAAGCTCTTTCGCCGAAAAGATCCCTCAAAAGGTGCCAAATGTGATCTGTGCCGGTGCACGTGTGAGCGTCCAAGCCTGTGACTCCTGTACCCAGGATCGGCTCAATTGTTAGTTCTGCAGCCTTTCGTGGAACATCATTTTCATGGGGATGTATGTCCAACCATTTGAGAGGGTAATGGGAACACCAGATCCAAGTACAATTTCTGGTTGATTCATTTGGGGGCTGTCCCTACTGTACTGGGATTCAGATTCAGCATTCTTCCCCTCTGACAGGTAACTTTACGTCCGAATCGCGAATCCACCCGCGCCTTGACCTCGCAATGGGCTTCCCCTTGCTTCACCTGACAGCTATCCGGTGAGGAAACGAAGAGGGTCTTGGCAAACCAGAATTCGTAAACCATCACAGCACCACCCCCCCTCAGCTTTTTGGAGAGTACTTCGATTTTTTAGACATTGGAAAAAGCTGAGTGCTGGTCAGGGATCACTGGATTTCCCCGTCAAAAAGTTGATCAATGTGCTAGTGTGGTGCCCATTGAAACGATTGCCACTTTTAGAGGTTCCAGAAAGGGACATGGATAAGGGGTCCCCAAACCCTGTCATGAGGTGAGCCCAGCAAATGGTGGCCTGACTTGAAAAAATGCCCCAGGAAAAGGCAAACCTTCGATTGGCACTGCGTTATGTCGGGCGGGCCAGGTGCTGCCTTTTGGAGGCAATGAAATACATGGGTACACATACTAACTCGGCAAGTTGCAAAAAAAAAACAGGATGCACACACACACACAGGCACCAAATGCGATTTTCCCGAACATGTCAGTGGGGCAAAACGAGCATCGCTCGTTTGGAACCCTCGCCCACCCCTTCCCCCGGTCCCCCGAAACCAGTTTATCCGGTGTCAGACAAAAGGCCCCTCAAAAATTGCGGCGTTGTATTTCTGATTTCCCTTCAAAACCACAAAGCAATGGACCCTCAATCAAGGACGGACACGCAAAATTACCCGTCACAACATTCCTTGAGCGCCAGCAAGAGAGAAACATTTAAACACAAACTCAGCCACTGGAAGTGCCTTGAGCGACGCTTTTCCCTGGAAAGAAACGGAAGTTGCCGAAAATGGTCCTTTTTGGAGATTCCTCAACGCGGAGAGGGTCTCGGGCTGCATGCTTTAGCCTGGAGAGGCAGAAGAACCCTTTGCATTTTGCAAAGATGACCCTTGCAGCCAAAAACAAAAAAACAACGGCCAGCCGGCCAGACGTGACAAGTAAAGCCGGGAGACGTGACCAGGAACAGTCGAGCGGGAGAAAGCTCCATGCAAATCGGATCTCGATTTCTGGCCGACCAACCTTTTGGGACCCGCATCTACGTTCTCTGAGCCAGGATCGCGGCCTTTTCTCGCCCTGCTCGAGCTGGGAAACTATCCATCTCCCCTTCCAAAGGCAGGGAAATGAGAACAAAAGGCTGCGTCTTTTGGCGGGACCTGAAAGATGATGGGCTTCTCCTTTGGGTTCCCTTTGGCCCCGCCCCAAAAAGGGCACCCTCAGGAAAAACTAAAAGACAAAAGGAAAAACACGCACACCCTCACACACGCACACACGAAACCAATGGGCCGCAGGGTTTCTGGTTACTTTCCTTCAGCACACGCCTCTCCAGGAACGCAGAGCGGGTTTTCCAAGGCGCAATGCACCCGCTGAGCAGCAGCTTTCCTGCGCCTGCGGACCGCCCGGCCGTACCGTGGATGGACAACTTCCCTGTTGCGCACCACGTGGAATCCATGGAAAACCAATTTGTCGGTATTTGGCCCTGGCTCAAAAATAAATCCTTTGGGGTTACGCAGGTGTTGGCCTTTGTTGCCATTTACCAAGGTTCGATTTTGGTACCGGTTTTTTGCGCCACAGCCATTCACAGGCGAATCATCCGTCCAGGTCTTCTTAGGTGGTGCCGGATTTCGGCCAGCCGCAGTATTGCAAAGGGAAGCAATACAAAGACTGCCCCCAAGTTACCGTGAAACAAACCTACGGTGGATGCCACAAGAAAATTACCACTGAGACACCAGGGAACCTCTTTTGAACCGTGCTTTACCATGCTTTTGTGGTTGCGTGCAGTCGGTTTACTAGCATTCTTCAGGGTATCCCTAGGAGTTTCTCTCTCTTTGTTCATCACTCCTTGGGCAAAACTGCACATTGCCAATCCCAGTCCCACGTTGCTGAAACGCTGTAAAGGACTGGGAGTTGATGAATGTTAAAAAACACCCAACGCTGGTTTGAAAACATAAGCAACTGTAAATAGAGACTCGCGAAGGCGCAAACCAACGGCTGGTGGCCTGGCTCTCAGTAGGAAGCCGCCGGGTTTTGATATGGGATGCCTCCGAATCAGCCAGCGCCGCTTCAACCAATTACTCTGCAGTTGTTTTCACTATAAGCGAAAACCCACAAAAAGGAATCCCCGAATCAAGGACCTTCATCATGGGTTTGCCCACGTGACTCTACAGCCAGCCCTTTAGCAAAGGATCGGGCCGGAGATCCGCTATGCCTGTGACTTTATTGTCCTGACCTTCAGGTTTTGATGCCTCAAATTTGAGGTGTATGTTTGGAGCTGGTACCCTTTCAGGGTTTCAAAAAGGGAGCCTTTTGACGGAAAACCACTTGGGGGGGGGGGCTGACACATAGGACACGGGGACACAAGCCGCTGACAGCTGCCCAAAAACCACTACACTGGGGGGAAAAACCGGTTGTACTTCTTTGCATAGTGGCTCTGGGGGTCATCCCAACTCATTCCCCCATCGAACCAGCAGCTTCCTCGCAGCTTAGGAAATCTCAGTCTCTTCTCCCAACTCGCCGCCTGGGGGCTCCTCCGCTCGGTCGGGGCGCGGGATCTTGCGAGGCAGCGGCTCCCCGGTGAGGGCGGCGGTGTCCACCAACATCTCGTCCCCCTGACCACAAGGCGAAAAGGAGAGAAGGGGCGACGCCCTGCCGGTTGGCTTGGGTTTGGTTGGCTTGGGCTTGGTTGGCTTGGCTTGGGTTGGGTTGGTTGGCTGAGCGACGAAGAAAGAGGAGCGACGAAGGGCACGAGGAGCTTCCAGTGGTGCGGGTTGGGTGGGGTGGGGGTGGGGTGAGTTGGGTTGGGTTGGTGAGTTTGGTTGGTTAGTTGGTTGGGGTGGGCTGACGCGTCCCAGATGTTGGAGCAGCTCTTTGGAGGCACCTCGAAGGAATCAGGTTCTTTGAGAGCTTTAAAGCCCCAGTTGGAACCATAAGATGGTTTTTGCCTCCAAACTACACAACAACAACAACAAAAAAAACTCCCCTTCATATCCGGTTATTGGCTCATATTGGCTCGTCTTGTGCTTGTATGAATTTCTCCACTGTAGGTAACCAGGAGAAACCATCCAAGGATATCCAAGACTTGCCGAAGAGTTCCCTGCTGCTTCAGGCCCAGAAGTCGGGCCGAGCCCCAGGCCTTGAGCCCCACTAAAGTCAACATGCGGAGGTTTGCAAAATTACTCCCCAGATTTGCATAGTACCCACAAACCCCGTGGTTTTTGGGGGCTCGACGTGAAATTTCCCTTTAAGGAGTTAGACAAATTTAACGGACCAAACAAAGAGAAGAGCTCCAAGATGTGGGTAACCGGAAAGCCTATCTTAAACCGATATTGCCAGGAATGCGTAGATTTGCCTGGGCGCACTCATCCTGTGTGACATGGTATTGTGGATAGAGGATACGTACGCAGCTTGGGTACTTCCCCGGATCAGGAGGAGGAACACTAAGGGGTCTCAACCAAACGGCTGCTTTTTTGTTGGACTCCACATTCATCTGCAGAGGGGTCCTGTTTGAAGAGCACCTTCTTCCAACAATCACGGAAGCCGGCAAAAGGGCTTTGCAAGACTGGAAAAGGCCCCTTGCCCACTTCCATGTTTGTTGGAAAGAGTCAATATAGTGTTAATTTATATATATACATGTATATATATATATATATATGTGTGTGTGTGTGGTGTGTGTGTGTGCATGTGTGCTTCTCAAAAACGGGGGTTCCCTACATATAACATTTCAAGGGGACCCGCTCCACCAAACCAAAAAACCCCCCGAGGCGACGGAACGCGCCTCCAAAAACTCGCAGTCTGCCGGCACGATGTTCCCCCCACGCAGGAAGATCCTAGAATTTTGCCGCGATGAGCGGGCAAGTAACTATGCTGGAATTAGGACCCCAGCAAAAAATCATATTTTTGCATCTGGTTAGTGGAAAACAAAGGGACCACAAAATACATATATATATATAATATATATAAAAGGGGAGCTCATTCTGGTTGGAAGGTCAGTTGGCCCTGGGGACTCGGGACTCCAGATTTCTTCTTTTTGTTTAAGAGAGAAAAATTGTTTCCCGAGGTCTCTTTTGGGGGCAACACATCAGCCTACAAGCAAAACTGGGCAAGCAAAGCCGATGGGACTCTGGCCAAGGGACCATCCCTTGGCCAAAGCCCCTTGCAACTTGACTCGTGAACTTGGGCGGAACAAGCCGCCAGCCCTCGCTTTTCTATTTCAGGGATCCGGATGCATTATACACCTGAACATTGCAACTTGTAAATGGTGGTTTCCCTTTATTCTGCTGAAAAAGTCATGTTTCAAATGGGCAAAATGTATCTTTTAAGGAGCCCTGTATTTTAATCATGGTATTTAAACCTTGGCTAACACCTAAGCCTCCATACCTCATCCCCCTTGCACCCACCAAGGAAAGCGTGGTCCCTTTCTCGCCAGGCTCGATTTTCACTTCAGGGGTGGCGCAATTCTTTTGGGGGTTTAAGGGTCAACGACCATTTCTGGGCATAGCGAACAGCTGGCGTCCCATACCCTTCCATAGGGCTTATGTCTAATCGTCCCTCGCTGCTTCCTTGGCTGGAATTAGGACCCCAGCAAAAAAACATCTTTTTTGCCTGGTCAGTGGAAAACAAAAAGGACCCCAAAAAGGCCAAAAAAAGGGGGGACTAATTCTGGGGAAGATTATATGGCTTCGACCCTTGATCGCCGGGCATCAGCAAGCCAAGGCGCACGTCCCCAGGGACAAGCTCCGCCACGGGGATGATGACCATCTCCCCATCGCGCTTCACCTTGGATCCATGGAATTCCCGCCGGTCTCTATAATGTTTCCCGAGCTGTTAAGCATAGCTTGACGGTGTGATGTTCAAGTGGGGGGATGTGAATATATTCTCAAGAGGGGCTTTGCTTGGAACCTCATATTGGGGTTCAGGGACAGGGGGCTCACCGAAAGGGAAGTGCGTGACCGCAATTGGGGGTGGGTGCATAACTCATGAGTTCGTGGCAAATCAGGCTTGCCGCGATTTCTCTGTAGAGCAGAGGACCCCCGAACTGCGAGAAAGTAGACACACACACACACACATGAGCATGCAGGTGCCGTGCTGACTTCAAACTACCTCAAGTCTTGCCTGCCACACCCCAAAAGTGGGGTTTCACTCCGGTCCATATTGGTCAACAGAGACGAGAGCCATCAACGCACACTCCGAAATGCTCGGGCCGGAACCCTCCTGCACTTTCAAACAACCCATTCCACACCTTCCACCTTGGATGGCCTCCTTCCGCAACCCCCCCGCCCCCAACCGCCACCCCCCAACCGCCACCCCCCAACCGCCACCCCCCAACCCCCCCCCCCCCCCAACCACCCCAACCACCCCAACCACCCCAACCACCCCAACCACCCCAACCACCCCAACCACCCCAACCACCCCAACCACCCAAACCACCCCACCCCAACCACCCCCCACCCCGCCCCCCCGCGCAACGCGCGCGAGTATCCCACGCGATTGGCCAAAGGCGCCGGCACGGTGGCGGTCATCTGGGCCTTCAGGGCGTCCAGGGACTGCCGGGCCTTGAACTCCTCATGGAAGCCGATGAGGGCATTCCTCAGCTCTTGGAGCGAAGAATTGCTGGGTGCGCCAACTCGACTCAACTTTTCTTCAGTTTGAAAGCAAAATGGGGGAATGTGTCTTTGGGAGGTGTCCAAGTTTTGGGAACTTCTTGAGGCGCATGTTGGGTGGTGTCTTGTTGTTTGTGCTTTTTGTCTCGGATGTTCCCCTTTTTGGGGTGTTTTTAAAGGGAAGCCGAAGGAAACCAGTTCTGAGGTTAATTATTGTTTGTTTTGGATTTAGGAAAGCTTCCCTTGTTTGGGGTGGTTTCAAGGGAAGCCTCGATTTATGATGACAAATTTTGTTTGAGGATCTCCCTTTTGGGGGGTGGGTGTCAACGGGAAGCCTCAATGTCTGATGAATATTTGGGAGTTGTGCTTGAGGATTTCCCTTTTTAGGGTGGTTTTAAAGGGAAGCCGTTGTTGGAGGATCTCCCTGTTTTGGGGTGGTTTTGAAGGGAATCCGCCAGGAAGCGATTGCATGTTGCAGGTCCCCGCAATGTTGACGCATACCCAAATTTGGTTTCAGGGGCAACTTCTTTGATACCACGAAAATCCCCTGAACTTGTTTTTTTTTTTTCCCCCGCACCACCTAGGAAACCCAGGTTTCCGTGAGTCGCATGTAAATATCAAGGAACAGTGGTTCCCATGGTTTCAATCTGGTGCAGGAGTTTATCGATCCACAGTGGGGAGAACTGTGCCATGTGCTTTCACCAAATGCAAAGAACGGATGCCTAAGTTCAAAGGGGCATTGTAAAAGGAACATAGTTGCTAGTTAAAACAGGGTGCTGCGAAAAACAAACAAAGGATGGCCCCCATTTTATACAGGTCCTTCCCCTGCATTATAGACAACAACATCCAAGACTTGGCTTCAGCATTCCAAACAAACTCCATCTACACCCGCAGAGGTCTCCCCCGGCACGGCTTCGGGGAGAGAACGAGCCAACATTCCGAGGGGCACAAGCAGCATCAGCGCGATGACCACGAAGTCGGCCCAGTCCTGCGAGTCTTAAGCGCCGAGCCTTGTCTCGCGTCGTGGCCGCTTGTTTCGGGCGTTCGTTCTCGCAAGTGCGGAAGGTTAACCTGCAAAATCCAGAGCAAGATGGAAGTACATGGCACCGCGAACCCTTTGCCATGCCTGGAGTCAAAAACCATGAGATGTGTCTACCTTTCACACAACTCCACCAAGTGCTCACCCCAAGCCCCCAGTTGCCATGAAGAAAAGAGGGCAAACTGTTTGAGGTGGTTGGTGTTTTACGGAACCCCCTCCAAAAAATGTTATGGGTCAACTACCTTGACCTCGGCCCAACCGAAGTTTTCCGAGCTGGCCGAGGCCTCAGTAATGGCGGAGAGAAGCGCCGCGACGATGAGCATGAAGGGCATCATGCCCACGAACTGCTTGCCCAGCATGATGTACCAGGGCTCCACATGCCTCGACTGCGAGCGGAGCCCGCCGGACCCCTCTTGGTTGCTTTTGTTTCAGCCTACTGTGAGACCGCCTTTCTCCCGTTTTCTATAGGGGGCGGTTGAGGGGGTCGGGTGTTTGGGGCCCGGCGCTGGGCGCGCTGGGCGGGGGGTCGGGGGGTCGCTCGTGCCGTGGGAACTGCGCCGCGGGGCTCGGGGATCTCGTTGCGCCCGTGCTGCAGCAGCCGCTGCGCCGCCTCCGCGGAGCTCAGCCCGGCCAGGGCGGCGTCCTGCGGGCGGGGGGGGGGGGGCTGGGGGCTGCGGGGGGCGGGGGCAAGGGGGGGGAAAGGAGGGAAAGGGAAGGGGGGAAGGGGGAACAGATCTGGGGGGGGAGCAGATTTTGAGGGGGGGAGGTGGAGACAGGCGACGGTTGGGCTGGGGGGGTTGGAGGGGTTGGGGGGGTTGGGGGGTTGGGGGGGTTGGGGGGGTTGAGGGGGCTGGGGGGGTTGGAGGGGTTGGGGGGGTTGGGGGGGTTGGGGGGGTAGGACCTTATCTTCTCACCAATTAATCTTTGATGGAGATAAAATAGTTGCCTCTCACACCCTTTCACCTGTCTGTCTTCTCTCTCCTTCATTCTTCACTCGTGAATCCAGATGAGGTAGGGTGTGTACAAATGCCTTGTGGAAGAGCAAATACTTGGCAAAGAATGGGAAAAGAAATCTTCTAATTGAGGCTATTCCTTGTCTCTCAGGCACTTCCTTCATCCATTATCATCCATCCCATCTTTTCCTTTTTAATTAGTTCCCACGTGACCGTGAATGAAGGCGAGAAGCCGAGCCAAGAATGGGATGTCACTTACAGATCCTTTTCCTTCCACAGCATGCCATTGTCTCACCTCACGGTCTATTCCTTAAGCCGCATTCTTCTATCTTCCAAGGCTTGGTTAGGCCATAGGATGAGACCGTGTGGTGGAAGGAAATGATGCCGTCAGGACCTCTCTTTCTTGTCGGTTAACCTCCAATCCTAGATGCGAGAGCCTCACCAATAGATAGGTCCTGTGTACCAGCCATTACTCTCTACCTCAGAGACACGACTCACCAACGAGGAAGCGAGTGGGAAGGGACATTCTCATACTCTAGAACCGTGACCTGGTCAAGGGAAAGGAGTAGAGGAAAGAGAGACTGACGTGAGACTCATCCATACAAACCTTTCCATTCCTTCCCAAGCCTGATATTTGGCTCGTGGGTCTTTCACATCCCTAACATCCGCTCCGTCAAGTCGCTATAACCTGATAATTGGTTGGAAGGAAGGATGATGTGTAAGGACTCTCCATTTCTCTAGGTCCTGCCAAACACTCTTCAAGGTAGGAACACACAAAGAGAAAGAGATGATGACATCTGGTCCATCAATTGGCTAAGGAATCTCAGTCTTTACAACATAAAAATGAAAATAGAATGATAAAAGATGGACCAGAGAGAAGCGACGGGTGAATGAATCTCTGGTCTTCCTTCCTTCTCTTGCCTATGGCCGAGGGAACCGGAAGAATGAGGGTGACCAGAGGCAACTAACGGCAAAGGAAAGGAAGGGATGGTAAGAGATGGAAAGAAAAGAATGCTTCCTGCCGCTCATTTGACTCGCTTGTTGGCAGGCTTTCCATCTCCATCCCACTCCGTCCTCTGGCCTCCGTTCCCCGTCCCTTTTCCTTAGGTTGGACGGGTGAATCTCCTTCCCTTGGAACCGCGAGGAGAAGAGCGGTAGGGAAGGATGGAAGTGATGGCCCTCTTTCCACTGTCTAGAATTGATGAAGAAGACAGATAGGAAAGGCCATCCCTTCAAGTCGTTCTCATCAGTCATTCCTTCCCTTCGCCGTTGGTAAGCCTCTTTCGTTCGTAAGCTCTGGCCTGTCGCTTCCTGCCGTGGGCTCCCAACTCACACAGGATAAGGACATGAGAGACAATGGGAGCGAACGGGAAGGATAAGGAATCACTATCTCTCACTCACCGCTCATCTTCATTCGCTATCCCTTCATCACTAACCAATTAACGAGAAATGAACGAGTGAAACAAGAGAATGGGAAATGAAGAGAGACACCAAATGCTCATTCCTTCTCTAGCTTCAGGAATTCCCAGCATTCATTCTCAGCCTCTGGGCTTCCAAGCAATGCAAATAATAGATTCTTAGAGACGAGAAACGCCTTCCGGAGACCGGAGGTTGAGAACGAAGGCTGACCATCATTTCTATTCTTATAAATTGCTCTTCTTTGTCGTTATAATTTCCATAATTAATTATTATTTTTATTAGCATTTTTCTTTTATTTATTTCTTTCTTTTATTTATTTTATTATTTATTCCTTTTTTATATGTGTTTTCTTATAAACTGGCCTTCGTGCCTCTGGGAAGTTCATGCCCATCCTCTCCTGTCTTCATCAGGATCTGAGGTAAACGATAGAAAATGGAGGGAGATATAGGCTCTAACCCTTACTATTAACCTGTCAATCATTTATTTATCTTCTCTTTTTTATTTGTATCTTATGTTTGGTTGGGGGGGTTGGGGGGGTTGGGGGGGTTGGGGGGGTTGGGGGGGTTGGGGGGGTTGGGGGGGTTGGGGGGGTTGGGGGGGTTGGGGGGGTTGGGGGGTTGGGGGGGTTGGGGGGGTTGGGGGGGTTGGGGGGGTTGGGGGGGTTGGGGGGGTTGGGGGGGTTGGGGGGGTGGGGGGGGGGGGGGAAGGGTTGCACACAGGAAAAAGACCATCAGATCCGGTCCATTCGCTTTGGGCAACTGAGACAAAATTTGGGTGTGGGTCGAAATGAAACCACCAGCAAACTGCAGGTTTTAGTCCATGTGTCCATCCAGGGCAAAGCATTTTGGGGGATTCCTATGTTCGACCCACACCCACTTCCACTTCTCTCTCTCGCGTGGTGGACTTCTCCTCCGCGCCGCTTGGGGCGCCGGCGGCCACCGAGTGCACTGCCGAGTGCAGAAGGGACCGGGTCAGGCTGCTGGGTGCCAGGTTCCTTGGACTCCCGAAGGGAACGCGTGACACACCTTGCCTTCTTCGGGTTCCCCCTATTTTCAGACATACGACCCAATTGTGTCATCATCAAGACCTTTGACATGGTCTTCCAAAAGCCCCTCTGCACCTATTGAAATTGTTTTGATCGCAACTCAACTGACTGAGTTCGTGGAAACCCAACTCGCCCCAAAGCCACCACTACAGCCGCACCAAAAGCCACCCAAAAGACGGTTTTGGGAAAATCCGCTGCCCGTTTTTGAGGGGCTGCAAAGGAGTCGAAACGAACAGCCCTGGTTGCTCCAGCAGAAATTTCCCCAAAAATCCCCTAAAAACATCACCCCGAAAACAAGATCACTTAAAATGGGCCGAAAGGTGATGTATAAATGGGACCCCCTTGACAGAGGGCTCCTACGGCCTCAGGACCCTGTCCATATGCTGACAAGGACCATTTCTTTGGCCATGCGTGTTCCAATAAGTTGGATATGGGAACCCTTTCCAATATCTTGATCCGGATCCTCTCAAAAGAGTCCTTTGCGATGTTTCTAGAGGGGTCTCTTTGCTTTTGGCCAAAGGGGTCAGAAGGAACAAAGAGGGTACTGTAGAATTTGAGCCCCGGGAAAAGGAAAACAAGGGGAATCCTATAGTGCTGACGGATGGATTCAACTGTTCTATCAATAGGTGAGGGGCCCCTTCGGGGATGGGGCCCCCATCAAAATCAACCAGGCGTGCACCTAATCCGGGTTAACATCACCCTTGAGGCCTTGCAGAATCAAGGACTCCTTCCGCTGAACCCCCCCCCCAAAAAAAAGAGGTGCATCTTGGGTTGGGGCTCCCCCTGCTGCAAGAAGTTCTTGTACGAAGATCCGTGGGGTGCTCCAATGGCCACAGCGGAAGCTCCCGTGGAGCCGTCGCCTCCCGCAGCCCGCGATCCAAGACCAAGGCGCGCGGGAGGGGGCGGCGCCTGCTGCACCAGGATTTGGATTCGCTCGGGCTCCGAAGGCCGGCCATCGCCTGGAGGATATTATATATATATATATGTATATATATATGTGTATATATATATATATGTATATATATATATATATTATTATTATTTTATTTATTCTTTTTTTTTTTGGGGGGGGGGGGGGGGGGGGGGCGGATGTTTGGAGCCCCAGACCCAACAAATCTTAAGGCGATAGTTGTTGTTGGGCGGATGTTTGTTGGGCGGATGGGTTTGTTGGGCGGATGTTTGTTGGGAGCAAAAGGCAAACTGTCTTCTTTGGCAGCTGATTTTTCAGAGAAAGCCTCTCCAACAAAAGAATGGGAAGCAACAACACACGGGAGAGCTCTCATTTCGACGCTCTTTGGATGGTGCAGACTCGGCCAGGAAAACCAAAGTGAAATCCACAAGTTTGGGGGCACCCCCAAGGTGAGACATGCCACCCGCCGAAATCCCAGCGCCTCAATAGGAGCCAACCCCCAGAATTCATTATATTTGGATTTGTGGTTTGGCAGTCAGGGTGGTTGCCCATTTGCCCTCCACAACAAGGGGTTCAAACCCCAAACCACCAATCCAAACCACCAGTTCGGGGTTGCCTTGTCAGGGCGGAGGTTGGAATTTTATCCCCACCCCCACCCCCCCGGAAAAAAAATGATATAATAATAACAATAATCAGTAATAACAACAATAATACTGATAAAATCCGATCCCCTCCCCCAAACCGGAAAAGAAAGCAATCATAACAGCAGTTATAGTGATAATGATGAAAATAAACAATAATAACCATCATCATAATCAGAATACTACTGCGAATGGTACCAATACCAACTATACTTATAGTGATACACACAACAACAATAAGAATAAGAACAAATGACTCACAATACCAGCAAAAAGTAATACTACAAGTACCACGGCAGTCATAACAAGTATAACAAAAAACATGTTTTTTTGAACCGCAGACGAGATCGGATCAACTCCTGCCAGGGCGCCGCCGGTGAAGGGCGAGTTCCTGGTGCGCTCAGGGTCCGCTTCCTCCGCCAGCAGCGGCAGCTTCTTGGCGCTCGCGGCCGCGGCCGCGGCCGCCGCGTCGTCCTCCCCGACTTTGGCCATGGCGGGGTCTGAGCCGCACAGCTAACGCTGGACGAAAACGACCTTCATCTGGGCGGATTATAAGATTTCACCCACCTTTTTCTTGCTCCCTTCAGCCATCCGTGTCTGCCAGCCGCGCTTTTGCGGTAATCATATTTCACCAACCTGAAATGAGGTAGTTGGGGGGCCCTACTCCCCACATAAGCCAGCACTTGGGGTGAGATCGCGTGAGGTCGTTGTAATCAAGGTTTATGCGGCTCCTGTAAAGGACATGGACATATTAGGGGTGGGTGAAAATATACGGCTCCTAAAAAGGACATGAAACCTATGTGAGGGGGGGGGGGGAATTGCGGCTCCTATAAAGGACATGGAACATTTAAAATTTAGAGGTCCCTCTTTGAAAAGTTCGTGAGCCCTTTGTGACTGCAGAAGTTGAGACAATTTGTGGAATGGCAGCACCATTGGTAGCTGGCACTATTCCTTTCCCACAAATCATTCTAGCCAAATTCGAAGGGAAGCCAGCCGATGCTGGCTTGACCCACTTGCCACGAATGCCCGCAGAGCTGGTTTCCCGGGTGGTTTATCTGTACGTACAGGTGCTTCTCAACACAATGGGGCCCCTAAAAATGGAAAGTCCGTCCGTCCGTTTCCCCTGGTTTTTACTAGGTCCACTAAAGACACGCCCTATTGCTTGCCTCACTTCCCGAGAAGGGCCAAACAAAGTAACCAAGCTTCTTGTCAAGCGATGAGGGAAGTCGGCAACGGACAGCTGGAAGATGCCAAGTGTGACCCAGGGTTCCTTCCACAGGAGTAGAACAAAGAAATATAACAAACCAACGCCACCCAACCTTTGAAGTGCTCAACTGGCCCCCATGCAACAAAAGGCTCAGCCAACGATTGGTCTAGCCCATCAGTTGCTCGCCTTAGCTCTTTACCGTGCTGGTGGGTTCTGACGTGCTGCTTTGATCTGCTGCTTTCCGTCGCAAACGCACAGCGTTGCGCTGCAACACGCACCGAAAAGGCATTCTGCAAAGTTTGTGAGGACAACGTGCCTGGCGTCCGTGGGATTTCGTGGTTGGCTGTATTTCCGTCCAAACTGACCAGGGACTGGGCGGGATTGTCTGCTGGGGCTTTGACCAATACAAACATGGAATTGTCACGTGGCTCCTTTCAGCACCCCCAAAATGAGTTCCCACAATAAGCATTTGGGCACGCCGCCTCACGTGGAGAAACAACCCGTCGCCTGCTCCACAAACTCCAGAAACCTCACCCGCAGCGCCTCGGGCATTTGGCTTTTTGAAAGCTCCTTTTTGGACGGAGTAAGCAAAGCCTGGCCTGGTGTAAAGACGTCTGCCCAAGGATTGCAACAGTGGGGTGTGGAGGGGATCGGGCTCCCATTTTCTCCCTTTTACGTACCCCTTGCAACTCACTTCCTGAGATGGCACACACAACTTGCTGGTGCTCAATAGGGGACGACCCAGGGTTCCCTTTCAGGAAACCACAAGGGATGGTTTATGGGGGTTCTTCCGTCATTCCCTGCTGAGAGTTCTCAGCAAGAGAAAGAATCCGAGCTGTTTGTTTGCCAGCAAAATGGTGTGGCGCGAAAGTCGTTCTCAAGTCCTGGAACTCAGGAAGCGAGCTACGTGACAAGCACCGGGTTGGTCCGTGGGGCTGAGAGATCCGATGGGAGGACGACACTGGAACACCAAAAGAGACCCCACTTCCACCACACTGGTATCTTGATTCGGTCCACATCCCCTGACCTTCAAACAAGTTGAGCTAAAGTCACAAAAGATTTGCCTGATGTGTTGTGTTCTCCACGTGCGCTCCTTCATGAAGGAAAGCCACAAGTCAACGACTTGGTCTGCTCCAACTCCATTCGGATTCTTCGGCCCCCCCGCGGCGGATACGTCCAGCAGCCGGGTGGGCAGATGCCGCTCCTGCGGCGGAGTGGCGGTCCCCCCGCTGGTCTGATGCCAGGGTTCCCGCGTGACAAGAGAAGGGGAACCGTCATTTTTTTCTGAAACATAGGTCCTCCAGTAGAGAGGTTAGAACAAGGGTACCCTTCTTTTTCTGTAGTCTATTTTTAGTAGGGGAACCCTCCCCCAAAAAAGGGTAAAAGGGCACTGCCGGGGGACCTAGAATACCATTCTCCCCCTGCCCGCCTGAGCATCCCAAGGTACATCTTTTGGGACCCAAACTGTCTTACCCT